AATGAATAAGATAGAACAAATAAGAGAAAATTCGTTGATTGCGATTGATTATATACTAGAAAATCAAGGACAATTAAAAGGTATTTAATATTTTTAAATGTGTTTAATAAACTCTTTTCTATTCTACAAATATTAATTTTTTCTTAATAATGTTTTAGCATCAAAAGATCTTCATATAAAAATTGCACCAATCAGTGCTTACATTGAAGATACATACATAACACAATTATTAAATTATGCAACTTCGATGGCACCACCTCGATTTTTGCTACCAGATGACATGAAAAAGACAAGAACACTAGTTTCAACTATTGGAGTATACATTCCTGATTACATAATGGTTTACTCTAGAATATTAAGCGCCCCATTAAGATTACAAAATTTAAAGATAGATCCGGTATCTATCTTATTAAGTGTTCATACCTCTGTACGTTTATACGTGGCTTTAGACCATTCTCCTTTATATTTTGGTACTTTTGAAAAGAAAAATATTTTAACTACACCTTATAGACTTGGCAATGCTCTCACAATGCATTACTTATCTGGTGCTATATTCGGAGCAGGTATGAAAGTAATATTATTCAAATTTCTTAATATTATATTACTTTTTAATTTATATTATAGTATATTAAAATATTCGTGCCTTAGGTTGGGTAGTAGGATCATTAGAAATATTAGGTTCTCCTGGCAGCTTAGCACAAGCTCTTGGTTCAGGACTTAGAGATTTTATTTCCCTTCCATTCCAAGGCCTGTTGCAAGGACCATGGGGTTTTATCGTTGGAATAACGCATGGTTCTGCCAGTTTGATGAGACATGTTACAGCAGGTATTAATGAATACAAACATCTATCATAACTACAAAATTCACTTATAATTTTATATTACGCAGGTACGTTAAACTCTGTAACGAAACTAGCATCTAGCGTAGCACGAAATTTGGATCGTTTAACGCTCGATGAGGAACATCTTCAGCGGCAAGAAGAATCTAGAAGAATGCGTCCTCAAGGAATGGCACAAGGACTATACCAAGGATTGACAGGACTTGGAATGAGTCTTCTTGGTACATATATGGCTATATTTCTTTTTGATTCAGTACTTCATGTTGTTTAATTTCTTCTTTAATTTTTAGCCGCAGTTGCGGGTTTGGCACATCATCCTTTGCAACAAGTTTGGTCAGGAGAAATAACAACCAAAAGTATCGTGACTGGCGTTGGACTTGGACTAGTTGGAGTAGTTACGAAACCTTTAAGTGGGGCTGCAGAACTAGTTGCATTGACAGGACAAGGATTACTTCAAGGAGCTGGCTGGAATTCTTTGCCTTCGGTGAATAATTTCACGGAATTTATTTTAGACGTTATTAATGAAATTAATTGATAATAAATGCATCTTTACAGCCTCGACAACGACCAGTAGTCCAATACACGTCCGGAAATAATAATGCAATTATTAGATATGCCTGGTGGTTGTTACCCTTACTTGAAAATAATCACGGGAATATCTTGCATGTTACTAATGCAGATTATGTGATCCAACAAGGCAGTAGTCGTGCTATAACGTTAGTTCTAACACGGCATGCGTTATTATTAGTTAATACAGCTGAAGATAACGTAGAACGGATATATTTATTGAAAGATCTAACGAGTGCTGATCATCATTTGGAATCAACAATATGTTTGTACTGCTCTCCTGAGACAACACAAACTAATAGATCTATATCTCCAGCGCCATACGAGGTATGATATATTTTTATATTTATATTAGGTATATATATTTTTCTATTACTAATTAGGTATAATATTTATATTTAAAATTTTTCTTATAGATGGATCGAGAAATGCGAGCACGAGTGGCGGAATATGTACGAACCAGTAGTACTGGTTTAGCTAGCGTTTCTACAAATAGCGATGTACAGTCCGATATTTTTGAGAATACCACTCCCAATTCTGATCGTACACTTACATTTTACGTTTCTCCAGACTCACGTAATTATCTATTATCATTGTTTAACATTGCTAAACGACAGAGTCAAGGTAGCGGATTTACAGTGTTATAATGAATAAATAGAGTATCTTAGAGTATTTTCTTTACTCAGAAGTAGAAACAGTGATTGACGCTTATAAAACATGAAAAGTGATAAAATAGTATTATGCCTTCGATTTAGAAATTTTTTGAAAAATGTATGTCCGAAACAAATCCGAATTATGCGATATCTATATGTACATATCTTCGGTAACATTTTTTATTTTATTCTGGATAATGGACTTAAATTTATGAATTTTATTTCGTAAAAATATCCTATAATGTGCGACACATTATAGGATATGCACAAGAAATATTCTTACATAAGAAATGCTTTTTCAATTTTTATATGAAAATTTGTATCATGAAAAATTCTCCACAAACTTTGTTTATTAAATAACGTATATAATGTACATATCGTAGAAAAATCATGAAAGTATGTGTGCAAATTTAAGTATGGTGGATACATTTTCATTAATATACAGATTAATCCAGCTAAATGAGATCATCTAAATATCTGCCTTATTTATTGTTGTATAAAAAGCTTCTTAGGACAAAGTATTTTAAGTATCACACGCAACAGTGGAAATAGGTCTTTTTATAATCTTTTTTTTTTTTTTTTTTAATGGAACTTCAAGAGCATCAGTATCTTTTTCAATAAAATCATATATATATATTTATTTGTCGATATCCTTGTAGAGCGCAAAAAAAAGAAATCTAACGACCTTAAGAACCATATATAAACATATATACATACAAAATTTGAAGCCTTATCCAAATTTTTGTATGTCTGTACTTATGTTTAATCGACAGCTGACAAAACTTTAAAAATCCAAATTTTTGCTTCCTAAATAAAATTTTTTAACTTTCAAGAATTCAAATGAAAGTTTAGGGCGTAAGGAATTAATTCAGATTAGTTTTATGTAAATATTCTCCCTGGTTTAAACAAGTTTAAAAAATCTATCAATTGGTGGACAATGAAACACTATAACCATCTAACGGTAAAATGATGAAACTAATCTCTATCACGAAATTAAAAAATAAAATTTTTCGATCTATAAGGTGAATTTTTGAACTGTTCAAAAATTGAATCAAAGCTTTAATTCTCAAAAATCTTGTCTGTATAATATTATTCTGATTTCCTACATAATTATTAATTACATGTAAATTAATAACTGTTAACATTGGTACAAACTGACACAGTGCTGTAGTTTAAACATAATAACGTCATCTATCAGTTAAAGATTTTACTTATTAGTACCACCAGAGAGGACTATATTCAAAATATGGTATTTTGTATTAATTGCATGTAATTCATTAATTATGTAGGAAACCGGAATAATATTGTACAAAGAAGGTTTCGAACTGAAATTTACAGGGTGCAATAAAATATTTCATATCTTATATATTTATTAAAAGTAATCATTACATATTATTTATATATTACATTAATCGTGCACAATATATTCCAACAAGTTAATTTATTTAAATAAAATGCATTACGTTAATAATAATAAATTCATTACACAATTCATTCATAAATCCGTTCTATTTCATTATTTTTATAAGGCATGCTACAAGATGTACATTGGTTATTTTCAATCGATGTTAAGACATTTCTACATAGAACATGCTTGTGTTTTATATTCAGCATTTTCAGACCTTTCCATAGATTCAGCTAAGCAAGATTGTTCGAACCATAAAGTAGAAATACTGGTTATAGTGTCTTTACCACAACGTGGTGACACTGTTCCCCATACTTCTATCTTACCTAATGCAGGTACTGAATTCTTTGTTTTACATATACAAATTCTTAAACTATTTATGCATGTTGTTAAGTATTGCAGGAAGGATTTTTGTAAAACATTTAAAAAAATTTGGTACAGGAATTGACTCATATTTACTTGGACAAAACAATAATCCAGCGTGCGTGGTGTCTAAAAATTCAGTACCTACATATGTTATAAATACATATGTTACATATAGAAGTAACGTCCATATTTATAGAAGGCTTAATACAAGCATATGCTAAAAATCCCTTATCAGTACCAGTTATTAAATTGGTAACTTTATATCCTTCTGTGCTAACATTACTGCATTGAATTTCTGGTCTTAAACGAGGATCACAGAAGTTGAAAAGCATTTTTATACTTTAAAAATACATATAACAACATGCTTTAGAGATTTTGCTTTTTTTTTTATTTATTAATATTTACAATCAATTCTCGCGTTGAGAATTTTCAGTAATTTTTTCTGGCGTAGCGCAGTGATATGGCTAATTATTTATAATAAGTTAATACTTATTATAGATAAGTATAATTTATAAGTGTTGTAAATAAGTAAATACTTTACTTAATATAAATATCTAATTAAATCTAGTGTTTAGGTCTAACGGGTAGTGTCTCTTCACCCTGCGGATCTGGTCCGACGTATCAAGTAATCCAGTAATTAGGGGGTTACGATGTTTGTTGACTCTTTTGCTATATCTGTCGCTATATTTTGCTATTCCTCTTTGACTGTGGGTATCTTGAGGTCGCGATGTATTAGTTCGTTGGTAACATAACAGGGTGCATTTATAAGGGGCATTTATAATCTTAGCGTTTCCGATTGGAAGCGTTGAAATATTTCAATGTTGCAATTACTTCCTGTTTTCCATAGTTGGATTCCGCAGGTCCAGACGGGTTTTATTACGGTCAGTGAGCCAATAGAATCTTTGGAGTTTGTCCTTGAGTTGCTTTGTTTTGTCTGTGATGTGATTTTTCCAAGTTAGTCCCCTGTCCAGGGTCATGCCCAGGTATCTGACTGTGTCCTTGCTAGGAATTGTTGTATTGTTGATGGTGACCTGGGGGCAGGTAAAGATTTTCTATTAACACAAGACAAATTTCATTTTTGTTTCGAAAATAGCGTGACCTCTACTGTTGTCATAACGTACTTTATGGTTAGGTTAGTCTGTAAGTATCGAAGGTTAGTCTGTATGTATCGAAGCTTAGTTTGTTAGTACCGAAGGTTAGTCTCTAACCTCTAAGTGAGTGTAAGGGCACGTGAGTCTGGTAGTACCGAAGGTTAGTCTCTAACCTCTAAGTGAGTGTAAGGGCACGTGGGTAAGATATAGTAAACTTTCGAACGGGAAATCATTATTATTATTGCAAAATATGGAGCAAATAACAATAAAAGAGGAAATTGACGATAGTGTGAGAGAAACAGAGACTGGTGATAATACAGAACTTAAATACGAAGAAAAATTAAAATACACAAGCCTTATAGCTAAACCCATGGCCCCAAAAAAATTAACCAAAAAAATTTATAAGTGTATTAAAAAAGGTATTTTTATAAAACAGTTGAATAGTAAAACATTTTTGTGAAGCATGTATATTTATGATTTGTAATATAACAATTTCAGCTGCAAAGCATAAATCTTATCTTCGTAATGGTTTGAAGGATGTTCAGAAGCATCTTCGCAAAGGAGAACAAGGGTAAAAATAAATTTTTATTTATAACTGTAATTAGATTTTCTGATAATTTTAATGATCAAAAGACTTTTTATTTGAAAGTATTTGTGTATTTTTATTAGATTAGTAGTCTTTGCTGGAGACGTATTTCCAATAGAAATCATGTGTCACTTACCAATTGTATGCGAAGACAAAAATATCCCATACTGCTACACACCTTCGAGACAAGACATTGGTGCTGCTATGGGTGTGAAAAGAGGCAGTCTTATGGTACTTATTAAGGAACATGAAGAATATAAAGAACTTTATGATGAAATAAAAACTGCGATGGTAACATTATCAACGCCACTATAGATATATATTTAACCATTTGTATTTTTAATCACTTTGTAAATAGAAGAGATTCATATATCCTTAAGAGAGAGAAGAGTATTGTATCAGAGACTGCAATTTTTTATACAAATATCTTTCATTATTATGATGTAACCTATTTATTATATAGATGGCAAGTTTTTTAACACAAATCACTGTATGATAAAAGAATCAAAAAAGAGATAGAAATAAAACTTTTCTAATTTAATCTCTTCCCGTGCCAGTTAGTTTGTCGGAACAGACCAGACAACGGGCAAAATACAGTTTATAAACTCGGCTTGTTATGTTTACGTTTGGCCCAAGTATCTGGTCGCGAATCAGTTAAAGATTTTACTTATTAGTGCCACCAGGGAGGACTATATTCAAAATATGGTATTTTGTATTAATTGCATGTAATTCATTAATTAATGTTACATTAATTGTGCATATATTCCAACAAGTTAATTTATTTAAATAAAATGCATTACATTAGTAATAATAAGTTCATTACACAATTCATTCATAAATCCGTTCTATTTCATTATTTTTATAAGGCATGCTACAAGATGTACATTGGTTATTTTCAATCGATGTTAAGACATTTCTACATAGAACATGTTTACATGGAAGCTGGTAAAAAATGCCATTAGGGCAACAGGAACACGTAATTAATTTCGAATTTGTCTCGTTCCTTTTTGGAATGTTATTAAAACGTTTTAAATTAGGTACTGCTATATTAATATCGAAATCTGTTTCATTATCAACAGTTAGATCCACTATATCAATAGAATTATTTTTTTGTTCCCCTTCTGTGTTTTTAGACAGAGGTATAGTTGAAGTATAAGAATCGGCAGTCACTCTTTTCTTTGCTGGTTTAGTTAAAGCAGAAACAGTTCGTTTTTGGGACATTATAACAACTGGCAATTTATGACAAAGTTTTTTCTCTGCTTTTACAGAACTTACTATAGAGCAATGAAACTTTGGCTTACTATTGCTTGGAGCTTGAATTATATTTCTTTTTAACAAATAATTAGGAAATTCCTTTACCGTTTTATCTGTTACATTCCCATCAGAGGGCAATGCACGACCTAGCACTCTCGGTAATTTTTTTATTTCTTCATTATTGCAATTTTCAAGCAAAAACCTGTCTATCCTTATTTTTAAAGCACTTGCTATAACAGGTTTACGATTTTCACTAAATGGTAAACCAGTAAAAGGATCAGTCAATCTTCTTCCCCATATTGCTTCAGTTTCCTCGTGTTTCAGTAATGTAGTTTGGTCAATTATTTTTCCGCTTGGCAAGAGAATTGGCTGTGTCATGATTTCGTAAGTAATGGCATCTAAAAAACTTTCTGGAACTTGTAGATTTGTTTCCAATATTTCCCTGAAGCAAGTATAATAGATATATAATGTTAATAAATAATATAATTTATATATACTCGCAAATAATTTCACATTTACTTATTATCTGTATCAGCAACAGGTGTTTTATATTCAGCATTTTCAGACCTTTCCATAGATTCAGCTAAGCAAGATTGTTTGAACCATAAAGTAGAAATACTGGCTATAGTATCTTTACCACAACGTGGTGACACTGTTCCCCATACTTCTATCTTACCTAATGCAGGTACTGAATTCTTTGTTTTACATATACAAATTCTTAAGCTATTTATGCATGTTGTTAAGTATTGCAGGGAGGATTTTGTAAAACATTTCAAAAAATTTGCTGGTGCAGGAATTGATTCATGTTTACTTGGACAAAACAATAATCCAGTGTGCGTGGTGTCTAAAAATTCAGTGCCTAGTAAACTGTACGGTACACTGGCATCGTTACTAGTCTTAGCATATAATTGAAAACCTGATGACTTTTGAGAGCCAACTTGTGGCCAAATTAAAATGTGATTAATACGTATGTTACATATAAAAGTAACGTCGATATTTATAGGAGGCTTGATACAAGCATATGCTAAAAATCCTTTATCAGTACCAGTTATTAAATTGGTGACTTCATATCCTTCTGTGCTAACAGTACTGCATTGAATTTCTGGTCTTAAACGAGGATCACAGAAGTTGAAAAGCATTTTTATACTTTAAAAATACATATAACAACATGCTTTAAAGATTTTCTATTAACACAAGACAAATTCCATTTTTGTTTTGAAAATAGCGTGACCTCTACTGTTGTCACAATGTACTTTATGGTTAGTTTAGTCTGTAAATACCGAAGGTTAGTCTGTAAGTATCGAAGGTTAGTCTGTATGTATCGAAGCTTAGTCTGGTAGTACCGAAGGTTAGTCTCTAACCTCTAAGTGAGTGTAAGGGCACGTGGGTAAGATATAGTAAACTTTCGAACGGGAAATCATTATTATTATTGCAAAATATGGAGCAAATAACAATAAAAGAGGAAATTGACGATAGTGTGAGAGAAACAGAGACTGGTGATAATACAGAACTTAAATACGAAGAAAAATTAAAATACACAAGCCTTATAGCTAAACCCATGGCCCCAAAAAAATTAACCAAAAAAATTTATAAGTGTATTAAAAAAGGTATTTTTATAAAACAGTTGAATAGTAAAACATTTTTGTGAAGCATGTATATTTATGATTTGTAATATAACAATTTCAGCTGCAAAGCATAAATCTTATCTTCGTAATGGTTTGAAGGATGTTCAGAAGCATCTTCGCAAAGGAGAACAAGGGTAAAAATAAATTTTTATTTATAACTGTAATTAGATTTTCTGATAATTTTAATGATCAAAAGACTTTTTATTTGAAAGTATTTGTGTATTTTTATTAGATTAGTAGTCTTTGCTGGAGACGTATTTCCAATAGAAATCATGTGTCACTTACCAATTGTATGCGAAGACAAAAATATCCCATACTGCTACACACCTTCGAGACAAGACATTGGTGCTGCTATGGGTGTGAAAAGAGGCAGTCTTATGGTACTTATTAAGGAACATGAAGAATATAAAGAACTTTATGATGAAATAAAAACTGCGATGGTAACATTATCAACGCCACTATAGATATATATTTAACCATTTGTATTTTTAATCACTTTGTAAATAGAAGAGATTCATATATCCTTAAGAGAGAGAAGAGTATTGTATCAGAGACTGCAATTTTTTATACAAATATCTTTCATTATTATGATGTAACCTATTTATTATATAGATGGCAAGTTTTTTAACACAAATCACTGTATGATAAAAGAATCAAAAAAGAGATAGAAATAAAACTTTTCTAATTTAATCTCTTCCCGTGCCAGTTAGTTTGTCGGAACAGACCAGACTGATGCTCGTAAACAGGAACTAACATTCAGTCACGATCGTAACGGGCAAAGATACAGTTCGCGAGCTCGTCTTATTATGTTTACGTTTGGTCCAAGTATCTGGTCGCGAGTCAGGCTCATAATATTCATGTTTGGGCAAAAATCTTCATCGCAACTCTGAGTCGCTACAGTACGGGAAGGGGTTAATGTAACATTTTTTAATTTGGAGATTAGACATTACATTTTTGTGCCTCAATGAAAAGGGTATATAATTGTTTGAAATACAGTTGTAAAAAATCCCAATTTTAGTTAAAAATTAAATTTATTTGTCGCCTGTGCATTTTTGAAAATAGAATATTAAAATTTAGCTTAAGATAAAAATCATATTTCTCGAAGCGGTATGGATATATATGTATATACAGCTATGCTTTTATCTTAGACGAGTAAAATGAAATCTGCCATAGATGTCATTATTTCGATTAACGCTCATCAAGATATCCGAAAATCAATATGGATTGTCAACTGAGACCTTCGAACAATCGCTTTACTTCTTTAGTTTCTCTGTGATCCTCAAAATATCATTTAACGTAATATTTAAAGGTAATTACAAAACTTGATGTTTGTCAAAGTTCGATAGCATTATTCACTTGCCGTCCATCATATATTTGTTAAATCCTGACATGTTCAAATATTGAAAGTGTTTAAATTTGAAAATATGTTTATGAATATGAAGATTGAAAATAACTCATTAATCGTAAGATATAATCAAAGCAATAGAAAAGTTAAATATGCGAAATAGTTACAAATGTGAAACGTAAATCGTGCTGGGGCGAATTAATTTTAATATAGAAATATTAATAATTAGTCATAAGATTTGACTTGTATGTTTTGAAAAAATTTATACGTTTGACGTTCATTAATACAGAACGTTATAATATGAAATGTTCAAAATTACTTTATGATTTCTTAATCGATATCTAGGCTTAAATTCTTAATCCGACCAAATACTGACGATTCCGACGAATCGATTACAGTAATGCTTTGTTAATTGGCCTGATACATTTATTTTAACTATGTACTATATAGAGACACTCCACGGTGTCATTTCTAAGAATTGGTGGAGATAGCTATAGCCAGTTAACCAGACACTACTGTAAGATTCAAAACAGAGGTCGCAATCACAATAATCTTCCTCGGCGTAGGATCGAAGGCTTTGCGAGCGTGGTAAGTTGAAAATTAAAAATAAGAAAAACGAAACGAGTATGTAAATACTTTGAGAAATTGAGAAATTTTTACTTTGAAGGAAATGATAATAGAAAATAATCCTTGTTTATCAACGTAAATTAAGTTTACGTTAAACTGTACATTTACAATTGTCACATTTAGAGTTTTAAATGCCCGCAAATGCCTTGTACGCATGGAAAAACATTTAATAGAAATTTAAGGTGAATTCTAGCTAAAATGCATTTGAAAATTATAATTTCCTGATCCCCTATCGCTCTACATGTAACTGTATTCCTTATTCCTACGATTACTGGTTTCAGTACAAAATATACACTTAGGAGCGACGAAGGATAACATTGACATTAAAATTGACATAGCGTACAAATGGGACGCTATTCTCACCCTCGCCTCGCCGGAACAGATATATTCTCTTTGCGTGTACATTGTTTCCGTTAATTTCTCTCAGATCAGGCAGTAATACATCTTGTGACTGTATATATGTTTAATTTTACTTCTTCCTCAACTTCTTTCAAATATCTAGATTGAAATTGTTTAATTCGAATAACCAGTCAAAGAACCCTCATTGTCACGCGTGGTTACATAAATGTTTATTTAGATACAGTACTGTCTTGTTAATTGGCTGGAATTCTGCCTTATTAACTGATCATTGCTATCCCCACCATTCCTTGGAAGTTTCTTCTAGGAGCGAAATTCTAATTTTTTAATAAACGGCCAGTTAACAAGATAGTACCGTATATGATATACATACATAATGTAAAATTACAATTCTCCGTCTATATTTTGTTTCTCTCCTTTTGTTCCTTCCCATTCGCTCACTCATTCGAACATACTTTCATTGCATGATGATGTATGAAAAAATCGATTGAACGATGAGCACGGCAAAGGATGATCTAACAAGTATTAAATTATTTGTGATATCGACCGCTAATAATACAAGTTGCTTCATATCTAAACGAGGATTTATATACGTGATTGATTACCCACTTTGACGATACATAATTACGTTTCTTCGGCGTACGAGAATCAATTTGTGCCTTACAAAGTACAAGTCGCTAAGAAAATATATAATATACGCGAGGACTCACTCTTACACAGAGATACATTCGAACGGACCATCGCTCTATACCTTACGAATGTTACGATATACGTAATTATAATCGTTACGAATTAATTATCAATTCATCCCCATTTTCTCTCGTTATTTATCCTATTAAATTATTCTTACCAATGTGATCGTAATTTATAATTCTAGCAGTAACCCATTACCGTGATCGATATGTCGCAGTTTTTTTATTGGACGATCCAACTTTATGTCGATTGAACTGCATGCACCCTCATTACTTAATAGTAATCGACGATTGACGAGAATAGCTATTTCATTTAGCCGTAAATCGTTACAAAATAGTACAAATACGAGAGGACTTCTCGCACTCGAAGAAACCGTAATCTCGTCGAACGGAAACTCAAGAGATGAAGCGTCGTCGGATGCTGTACAAACAATGTAAAAATCCGCATCGATTTATTATTAATAGTTACTTATTCCTTATAGAACTATGTGTATCCCTTAGTATAGTCACGCTCTACTATGGACTAAAGCTATTGCTCGTTTTCTTCAGTCTAACACGCATCGATAAAATTACGACGAATCTTAATCGTCTCTTGAAAATTTCATTTTTTTCCTTCAGTGGCTCGATTTAAAAAATTTTCCAGCCCTTTTCCTCTTGCCCTTCTTTTTTTGTAGAATTAAATTGTAATTTGAGGCGGAGGGAAGCTGGAAATTACAATAATTATCGAAGTAAATACTGTTCAAGATTTCCCAGTATTTAGACGCACAACGATTCGGTAGAAAATGCAATTCGGTTTTCTATGCGTCCTGAAATTTACCATGAAATTAATGTAGAAATTTTGGTTTAGAAATATACAGAAATCATGAACAATATTAACTAGAGAAATATGAAAAAATCTCAAGGGTGTTAAGAACCACCGAAGTAACTCTTGTATAAAAATCACTTGTTACGTGATTAAAGTAGATGAGCAATCTGAAACATTCACGTTCTCCATAGAAAAACGTGCCGTGCTCATTGACGGACAATTGGATGCAAGACATTCTTCAACTTATATCGTGATTTATCTTTTTCACTGTAATTCATATTTACGGATACGATCAAAAAGACGTTAAAACATGTCCCAGGTGATCGACATCACCCTATTTTAGGGTCGCTGTGGCAGCAACGACGAGTCGTCAACAAAAGGCACCATCTTGTTTTATTTGCTTATAAACGACGGACGCCCGCGTGAAATTCTAAAAGAATCGACAGCATAGAATTTGTTTTAAATACACTTCTTAAATGACAATACGAATGTTGGATTCATTTCCGTTGAAGTTGTACAAAAGATACGATCGCACCAATTCATATATCGTTTTTTTCTCAGACTGGACACTTTTTTCCAAGACAAAGAAAAACAGGAAGAAGAACCAAGAAATTCATTCTCATTACGTACGGCTGGTAAAGGACTGGATGACTTATATCCGGATTTTTTCATAGGCATCTTCGAGTGTGCATAAATCGTGTTTAACGTTCCTTAAGTATAAATCTGTAGCAGTATCAAAATAGTAAAAATGGTGCATATGAAGACCATGAGCACGGGTAGGACCAGAATGAATCGGACTGAGCGGCGTAAGCCGCTAGGCTCGTGTCATACAACCTGTTCACCTGACTCTATAGAGTCGAATAAGGGTCGTTCAGCTTGCGGATCGTTGTTCGCCGACGATGCTGTACCTCCACCACCGTTCGAACTTTCTCTCCTGGTTTTGCTCGTACCAGAGAAGCATAAACAACCGGACTGATTGCGATTTCTCTTCAACGTCGGCTTATTTTCGCGGTCACGTTCCGCCAAACATTTTTGGTAGTAATCGTAGTCTTTTAAATACCTGTTGAGTAAATGATTAATTAATTTTTATTTTTATTAGATTAGCAATTTCGTCTTGTCACAGATACGACTATGTATGACTAAATTTTAATAGATGCACAGGAAAAAAATATATATTAATTTGATCAATATGTATTCATAACTCATCCAGAACGATTGTAATTGAAATAAAATTGCTGTGCAACTAAAGTTCTTTTTAGTCTTAAAATTCTGCGCTTTGAAGAGTTAAATAATTAAACGCTAATTTTAGATTCTATATGTAAAATACGGACCATACTGGAGGCCATCGATGCTCGTTCAAATATTCCTGGTTCTCCGGATGCAAAAGGCGTACGCTTCGCGGAGACATTTTGCACAACTTGTTGTAATTGACGCACAAGTGGTTCATACACCAGTCAGCTAGTTGATCGGCATTATGCAACTGCGACATGCAAGTTGACGAGTAAGCTATCAGAAGATGTTAGATTCATCGATCATGTACAGGTCATTGAAGAAACAGCTGACCTTGCACGGTTCCAGCAGTCTCAGACAGTTCTCCACGGCCTCGTTTCCCTCGTTCTGAGACAATCTCCCGAGATCTTCGATCACTCTGCTCTCGACCAAGTTCACCAGTCGTTGCAAACAAAGACGATTTGCCAATTCTAAGAGGTTCAAGCACCTGGCAGAGGAAATTGCTGGCACTTCATCCGTATAGAGATAGCAGAGTAGTTTGTGGAACGTGTACTCGCGTACACCGGGAAACACTATCTGTTCATCGAATGTTATTGTAGTTTTATTGTGATAAAATATTTTTGAAAAAGCTTCAGGAGACTGATATTTACCACTTTTGCGCTACTTTCGCGGAAATCTCCGGAGAACATGGCCTTCATTACATCACATCGGGCAGTGAGTATCGCTTTGTGGGCTGGAACACTTCCATCGTCTAGTTCAAATATCACATCAGCGAATAGTCCTAAAAGAAATCATATTTTGTCATCGAAAATGAGAAAAAATTATTTTAAATTAATTTTTAATATTATTAGACTGCAGATGTTTTGCTTATTATATTTCATTAATACAGTACCTTGTTCTAGACAAATGTCTTCCAAACGTTGCCTCACCACTTGCTTATACCTATTATTAAGATCATTATTAAACTGATCTCTTGTTTGTAAAGTCCCAAGCACCATCAATAATTGCGGAAGCTCCAAGAATTCCGCCGCTTGTCTAATCTCCTATATGTGAAACAAAGAGGAATGAATCGATATTCCTATGTAATAGAAAAATAAGCATGAAATGAGAGTTTTAGAATCCATTTTTACATTGTCAGCTGAAAAAAAGTTGATAATGTTTTTCATGCACCTGTGACCGATGAAACCTCAATCGTTTAATGATCCTCGTATTTAAAAATATGTATTTTCAAATCCTTTGCATAAATTATGCATAATACTTTATGAGTCATTGGATACTACTGTATAGAAATTATATTTTCCTTACTCAATGTCTTTATCAAGGCTTTTTTTAGAAAAGAAACATGCTAAAATGATGATAAATGTGACAGTGACCTAACAAATTGACTTTAGGAATCGGTGAATCGATATTTTCCATTTAGCTAAATATCTCTACGTTGTGCGTGCGTGTAATATGTGTTCGTGTGGATATGTATGCTTGTGTCAGCAAACGTATTTCACATTGTACTAACCAGTAGAAGCCCGATAGGAGCTGTCTGAAAGAATAGAGCCGCGTTAGTTCCCGCATACCGAACTCGTGTTTAAACTTTAAACTTACTATTTGCATAAAGTATTCCTTCGACAAAAAAATACATTTACTCTACGGTTTAACTCCGATCCAAAATAATATAACCTACTACTGGGTATACAAATATTACATAATTATTCTATTTACATAATTTTCTGGAATTCCTAGTATCGACCTAATTTCCTAAAAAATATTAACCAGTTGCTTCGAAAGCCGTTCAGATAGGTTTACCTTTGGTACATTTGTATCATAAGAAATACACGCATAAGATTTATTTATCAATTACTATATATATTAAGTTATTTTTTTAATGCAATAATGGCATCGAAAGGAAAATGGATGTATAAAAGCTATTATATCAACTAAAAAAAGAATGTTAGATGGCCCACGGGTGTACCTGCCCGCACAGGTAATTGTACCGACGCAACGTACTTGTAGATCGTGATACCGTTTATCCAAGCTGCCCATGTAAATGAATTGCAAGCACTGCTGCATCGCCTGGGGTGTAATTAGTTTAGACAGCGTCACCACGGTCGTTGGTTGCTGCATTCCATTTGTATTTTCAGTCTATAATTTAATTGCACAAAAAAAGGAAACTAATTAGGATCTTATTATTATGTAACTCGAATTATATTATATTATTTATAGAGACTTACCAAGCATACACGGATGTTCTGGAAGGCAGGATGATTAAGTTCTCTAGTAGCTCCAGGTGGTTTCTTTTGGTTGTCCACCGTGGGCAGTACTTGGAAGCTTGAACGTCGCTTCAGTTGTTCCCAAACTCTACAATATGATTTTCACAATTTGGTTAATTGTGTATAACGTCATTGCAATACCGTATAAGAGACTTGGAAATTTATAAAATTTAGGAAATTATTCAAGATAAGTTATCAACTATCGAGTATCACTATGCGATATTATATGATAGGTATTAATAATCCTTTTTTGAGTGAATAATATATGGAATAATACTTGCTATGCTTTTAAAAGTTATTATTAAAATACAAATATAAAGTTAACAATCTGTTTTTAAATATTAGAATGAATAATAGACAATTAAAAATTTCCAGACAATAATGTATATTATAATTTGAACAGATTTGTTCAATGAACTCACTTTGCAGGTTTTGATTGATCGATACGAATGAGGCATTCGGTGTCATCGTTGAAGTCACCGACCGTTGCTTCGCCGAATGTACTCACCTTAATACAATTTTTTTAGAAATGTTTGCAAGTAAAATATAAACAATAATTTAAAAAATAAGAGGATAATAAGAAATAGAGAATACCATGCTAGATTCGCTAGAGCTTCGAGGTGTTTGTTCCTGAACGAGTTCCATAGAGAAAAGTCGATGGAACGCGGGCGATGCTGCGGCTAAAAGACACCTGTGAGCGGAAAACGTGCAGTTTCCGGCTATCAAAGTCACGTCAGTGTGAACTGGTTTTGTCCACAACGTTTTCATGTTTTCTTCGTAAGTGCTTGTCGCCAGACACACTTCCGGTGGTACAGGTTTTGGTGGACAAAACGGTGCCTGAAATATAATATGCTCTATTAATTTAAATAAATTAAATTATCCTCTGTTAAATTAATCTTTTTCCAAACTGGTTTTCTTAATAAACATGTGAATTTTCTAGGAAAGCTTACCTGAAGAAGAGGCCTTTGCACCCTCTTCAAGTTCGTCATCCAAAATCGTTGTTGGCGACGCGCGATTAAGGCAGCGCGTATCGAATTCTCGAAGACTTCGTTAACACCGTAATATGTAAAGACGCTAGTCTCATAATAGCAAACACCAAGCTCACGTGCAACAGCTCGAGCTTGATCAGGCATTACCAGATCGCTCTTCCTCGTGGCTCTGAAAATCAATTTATCAAAATATTAAATTAATACATTGTAAATTTATAATAGATTTATAAATTTATAATGATATACAAGTACTAATAATAATATTCAAATAGCTTAATTTTTATACAATATTATACAAATTAATACAATCTGAAGCTAAAAGGGTGTTACTCGTAAAGTTATCTTTATATAATAGGATTCTGCAAAACGATCGTAAAAAAGATACTGAAAGTCACGATGAACTTTGAAAATCCCTTGGGAGTCTCCAATATGTCAAGGCTCGGAATCCTGTTCTATATCGCGTGGCACATTGAAATAAAATATTCTCCGCTATACCGTCAAGCAATATAGGTGCAAAAATTCAGTATAAATGCGGTATTTCATCGATTAAATATCCTAACGTGAGTAACTTCTCCACCTGCGAATTTACAATTCTGTTAAAACTGGTATACATATTCATATATAGCTACTACTCTACTTAGGTCACAGAAAGATGTCAATCCTATATTAGCTTAACCATATAAACCAGTGTTTCCCAACTTACAATTTTCCCTTCGTGTTTACGTATAAAAAGGCATTTTTAATAAAATAAAAAATACACTAAAAGCATATTTTCCAGAATATTGTTCCAAAGTGACTGGAGCCTCTCAGAAGCCTTCTATCAGGAATCTATTGACTCTACGATCCGTCACGCTTATGCTAGTGACTAAAATTTTTTAGTCATTTTCTCAAGTTTTTAATAATGTGATTGATTTAAAATTAATACTATAGATATCAATAGTAATTTTTTTCAGTTACTTTTGACAAGAACATCGTAGAAATTTCCTACAATAAGATATTACAAGTTTTCTTTTAAATTTCTCAACTTTATGGAAGCTACAGTGATCCTAAACTTTTGGTCAGTAGTATAATATTAGCATACCAAAAGATGGTTACTCAAGATCTCAAAATGTGCCTTTTCGTACCCGTCGGTAATCTGGCTATCGATAAACCATGCAGGATCCCTTAAGGACCCCTCTTACTCAAGAACGTCGATCGTTGCATTTTACTATGCTAAGAATTGAACAGAACTCGTTGGCTGCGGTGGTCTGCGTTGATAATATCCTCGAGATGGCGGAGAAAGGATAGTTTCTATTTGATAAGAGGCGCAAAGGAGTCGACCGATCGGTAAAGAGTCTACGAGGCATTCGCGGAATCAATACTTTGACATACTTGGTCGAAGAGGCTGTCGTTGCATTTAAACGAGCTCCAATATAGGGTGAAGAAGTCGATTCAGGAAAGGGTGTGTTGCTTCTAAATGTGGAAAAGAGGAGACTGACTATATGTAGTTGAAGGAACAATATCGTACCTCACGAACGGACTGCGGTCACGGAAATAGCTCAGATACGTCTCATCTCGGTACATGTAACGTAGATCGTTCTTGCAGCCCACTAACAGTACCGGAGTCTGTGGGCAGAATCGTCGTATTTCCGGATACCACATCGCCTTGCAGTTCCGTAAAGATACGGGATTTGTTATAGAGAAACATAGTAGCACAACGTCCGATCTAATTTTAAACATACGTAGAGATTAATTGTTTGATCTTTGGAAAGTTAAATATACTAATCGTGTATTCTTGTATTAAAATTATGAAGTTTCAGGAGATTTATGGTTGATCAGTACTGGCTTCTAAGTGGTTCGCGTAGAAATAATAAAAAGGAGAAAAGAATAATTACAGCGTGTAAATGATAGACCACGTATAAAAAATTGACATCAAAATATATGAAATTATTTTCTTAGAGGAATAAGAGGTAAATTCTATACTAAATATGACGGTAAACGGGATAAGTGTTAAAATAATTTATATTAGTTTTTAGAGCTATCGTAAGATAAAGCTAAAATTGTAAGTGGCAACTCTACTACGATCGAAGAAGATACAAGAATATTGTGTTTGTGCGTTAAATGGTACGCTAAACACAGTGGAAATTTATGAGAAGATTTATTTGACGATTATCTTACCTGCCGTACGCGAAACGTCGATCCTTCTCGTGGTCGCCAAACGTGTCCCAAAGTCGCAGGGAAACATTTACGTTATCGACTACTTCCCAGGAACGTTCTAGGACCTAGAAAATGGACGCAAGTTGAAGTCTTTTATCTTAGTTACATTTTTACATTTAACGACCGATCTACAGTGTGCGGGAAACAAAATATGAGACTTTGAGGTAAATTCGTCAAACAGTCCATTGAGCAAAGACCAAAGACGCAATAACGTTCCTCAAAAGCGATCAGACGAAACTGGCCAAACCAGAAATCTACGCAGAGATCACGATGAAAGTGAAAATACAGTACAGGTATTTGAACGCCTCTTAAATGACCTGAGGGTAAGCACCGATGTAAACATTTCCTCCCAACTTAAGAATTTTCAACTTCGACATTTACTGCTCGTTAAACGCTACATCGCGTGCGAAGCGTTTTGCGTTGTCTTTTCAAAATTAAAACAATGATTACTACTAACAAATTGGAGGCCACGATTCACAAATTCTACCAAACCCAATCTACATGGAAGATAAAAATTACAATCAACGAACGATATCGCATCTAATCTCTACTAAAGTTAGACACTACGACTCAGCGAAGAACATCGAACGCTACTCCATGAACTCACGTCCTTGTAGATTCTATACTGGTCGATGGCCCAGACGGTGGGCACGTGAGTCGTCAAGAGTTGCGACAGCGACACGTGTTTGTTGCAGGCTCTCGCACAGATCAACCTGGTCTTTCCAACTGCCGTATCGCCGACGACCACGCACTTGACCAGTTCCTGATGCGGCTGCTCATTGTCCATCACCGACAATCTCCCCTGTTCATCCAATATGCCCTCCTCTCACGTGCCAGGTCGTCCGAAATCGCGATTTCCTCCGTTGCTACCGTTTCGTCAGTCGAATGGCACAATGTCCACATTCGATCTTCACCGTGAAAGATGACGCCGCGTTGATCCTGGCGGTCTGTTCCCCTTAACGATGCTGAAACTGAAATCGTAAAGGAAAATCGTAACCATACGACTGGTCAATGGATCCACGCACGCGATGTCCTTGGAAGAATTCTAGAAATGATCTAATCGTTGCTTGGAAATTGCAAGGAAAAGAATGGTGCAGGCATGAGGGGAAAGGTGCGAGGTTTCACGTGAGAATAAACTTGGTACCGGTTACGTCGCGTGTCAGACTGAATTCTACTTGTAATGCACCGCGCGCTTTCAGTGCGTTTGATCTTTCATTCGACTCGGGTTCTCTGTGATCAGATTCTTCTTTTAGTCAGTTAAAAATTGTACCATAGCTTCTAAGAAAAAGATGTTCCTTCGACAAAACACAAGCTAAGGATCTGTAATACTCGAACGACGAAGCTCAACATTTTGAACAGTTCGATACACGATATGTTTCTTGATCGAAAGTTAAAAAGACGCTGATAACGATGCAGACAACGGTGCAGACACGATGTCGATCGGTCACGTAGGCGTAGGTATTTTAAGCTTACGTGCAACGTTCAGACGTCCAGGCACCGTAAATATACATGTATACGCAGAATGCCTATTGATTTGACCCCGTAAGCGGCTTCTCTATATTTAGTATCGAACGTTCGTAACTTCAACCTCAACCCCGCCTATCACCTTAACCCTGAACCAAGCCATGGACACTAACTAGGAATTCTCACGTTCATACGAGCTTCAACAACAGGATGACACCGTCGTTGATCGTGTCAGCCTCTTTTAAACGAACTTCGAAGTTTCGTTTTATCTGGTTTGCACCGAATTTCACCAAAACTTACCAGAGTATGTATTTATATCGGAGCATCAAAGTCAGATATTTTCTAAGCAATGCGTGACGTTTATTTCGGGTATGTGGATATCAATTTGAACGTCGAAATCGTTAGATTTGTTAATTCACGAGATCGTTGAGTCAATCGAGTGTTGGTTTCCTTCGTTACGTTTGAGAAGGTGTTCTTCCTGATATCAATGTTGAATCAAGGATTTTCTTCTTTCGTGCTATCAATCATTCTTTCGAAATAAACGCTTTTTATACATATATCCGATCGAATAGAAAATCAGATTGAAATCAGACATAAAAAGTGCATCAAAAAAGTAGAGAAACTGCGTTTACCAGTGAAACAATTACTATCGCATGACAGATGAGACAATCGCATGACGCGAGAAACAACTTTATCCCATCCCTGACTAGACTATAAAATCGTATTTCAAGCGGACACGTCGATAATCGGTGCTAGGTGACAGCGTCTATACGTGTATGCAGAACAATCAGAATGAGTCACAACGTGAAAGTCGAAACTGTGGCCCGCTCGATACATTGGCCCGTGCCGAGCGCCTCTTCCTTTCGTGATCCGACTCTGTGAATGAATTTACTCCGACAATAAGAATCTCATTTTACCCATCAAACGTCGCCGAGGAATCGATTGCTGAGAAGACAAAATATCTCTCACGTTCACACAGACGTAGGAAAATTCGCTACTTAATTTGCAAATTCATTTAAAATCTATTTTTAAGCTTTAATTAGGATATTAATATCGGTATGATCTCGTTTCGATACAGAGCTAAAACGATTTTTTTTAGACAAATGTTAAACCTTTAAATTAATTTTCTTTTGCTCGTATCTCTACCTATTCTAATCGTTGAAGTGAACAACGTACATACGACGAGATTCTCAGAAACCAAATCAATCAACTCTACTTCTTCTAAGTTTCTAATTTCTTAATTATTTCTCGAAAAACTCAACCTTGTCCTATTAATTAAGTTAAGATAATGAAATACAAATCATATTGTGTAAAGGATTAAATGTGAATACCGAGGGGTTTGAACGTTTCGAGAGAGCAGTTTGGCGGACTATTTCTCCGACAAGAAGCAATTTTGCTCGGCCATCGCACGCTAGCCAAGCCTTTGCAGTCAAGCAACTTCCCAAGAAATTTCCTTCACCGTGGGAGAGGAAAGAAGAAAAAAGAAAAGGAGATGAAGTTTGGAAGGGTCGGACGATCGATAATCGCGGAACGTTCGCGAATCGCATGATTACTTATACATCGACAATTAAACGTCGTTTCCTCTGTTGCAGCTCGTGAATTGTCGTCGACTTTTTACAAGGTCTTATCGATTTGCGATGCTTGACGTGGCACACGAAGATTTCCACTGTTTGCGGTGAATTACCGAGCGACCGGAAACGATCAACGATTCGTAGGGCAAAGAGGATACTCGATGCCGCTGCACTTGAACTTATCGCGCGATCGTTAACGCGACCTAGAAATAGGTGCATTGATTTTCACGTCGACTTATCCAGACATTCTAATTATTAATAGACTGCAAATATCCACGCATCTACGCGAAATATGAACGTGCAAGGATATACAAAATATGCAAATATCGATCGGATCGTTATAGCATTTCTGACATCAGTGAAATCTGTCGTCTCGTAAGATCACCATTGTAAATGAAAGTACATAGCATATTTAAAAAATCATCGTTTTTAACGTATATTTGTTGAACTTTTCAAAGGAAATAATATGAATTTTGTCAAGCTTCCAATTGATCGAACGTAGATTTCCTGATAATAAATTACACGATAATATTCTCGTCGAGAATTACTTGAATTTTTGTGTAACTTAGTTTGCATCGAGACGTGCGTTTTACGATTCCCCGAAGTACTAACTTCCTATTACTTTCAGTCTTCTATATTACTGATTAAAATTTGTTTACGAGTGTCATTAGTTCGCGAACGGTACTATTCTACTCGTTCTCGTTTCATCTCAGCAGGGTGAACGTTAATTTCGACGGTTCATTCACGACGAAGAGCACTTCGGGTATTACGCGACGGCTTTGAATGAAACTTCGCAACTAGGTCGAGGTTCGGAAGGTATCAGAAAATGATTTCGTCCGAAAAGCATTTAAACTCTCGAATACCTTCGATACTTAGAGAAACTGACAATTCCCTTTCTAGACAGGTAGAGTAAATTCGAGTAAATTGAAGATAGGGTTGTGTAGCCGTCATTGTCTCATAAAACGAAAGAGAAATTCGTGACAAATCTTTCAACGCGTCTTTCATTCTTCCTCGATAAAAAACGAACCTAAAACTTGATTTATTATGAATTACAATTCTAGGGAATTGATATCTCTTTGTCTTTTTTACTCTCATTTTTCTTTTAAAAATATAAATTTTATTTGATTAATTAAACTTAAGTAAACCTATTAATTCGTTTAAGTAACGAAAGCTTAGCATATTTAGATCTAACTAATTGGTATTTAAATAAGTTCGTTAAAAAATTGATGTATATCTTTATATCCGTCTGAATGATTTGTAGCCTACAAATTTATTTATAGTCTATCTTCAACTTCCTCTTAAGAAGTTCAATTTCCATTCAGTATTCACCTACAGAAACGTCTATTTCTTCAAACTAGACTCTACAAATTTTTCTTTCGTGAGTATCGTATTGACTTTAACCCACGATTACAATAACTATGCTAATTTTCGTCTTATTCGAGCGATTTTATCGAGACCCGGTCGATGAAATGCCTAAACGTAAACGCCAAGGTGACATGGACACGTATTGCGTGTGGAAGATCCGTTGACGCATTGCAGAAGAACAAAATTATCGGGAGAGGTCAGCAAAACGACCGAGAAAAAGGTAGAACAGTGCATAAAAAAGGAATGTTAAAAAAATAAAAAAGAAAGACAAAAATGGTGGCGCATTTGAACCGACGGAGAACAGCATTCGTCCCTGCTCGGCCGGTAAATCAATTTCGTCGAAGGACGATCTAAGAGTGCGAGAATTGCGGCGGGGTCAACGAGCCACGCAGCGGCCACATTAATTAAGTAAACGCTGCTCCTATTGCCGACCTCTTTCAGCGGCTAATCGCTTTCGACGCTCGTGCGATTATGTTCACTACGAATATCCAGAAATTCATTTCTGACGCCGTTTGTTTTTTATATTTCATAAATTGGATGATAGTTGGTTAATAATTCAGAGCTTTTGTGTCATCGGTTTTCCAGGATAACGAAAGTAAACTTTCCTAAAAACGTAAAAACGTGAATTTGCATAAATATCTGTAGTCTAGTAGTATTGAATGTCTATATTAAATACTATTTAGAAAATACGATTGTTCTAATTTTTTGCTAAACATTCTTAATGTTTATTAAAGAACTATGTTTATCAATTCTTACTTCCCCGTTTTCCTTTCTGTTGCCGCTATTGCTCATACCTCTGCAGGCTTCAAAGATATACAACGTAATAGATATTATTTAATTCTTATTTGTTGGTTTTATACCAACAGGAAATTGAATTGTATGCATACATTCATGCGTGCATAGTATACGTATCAAATGTAAACTGAAATAAGTATATGTAAATAAATCTTACATCCAAACATATTTATTTGCCTATTAATAGAATATAATCAATCACGAAATGTCAAGGAATAATAGAAATCTTATGCTCACATAAGATTAAAAAAAAAGAATCATGGAAGAAAATTAATCGTTGAATTTATAAACAATTAATCAAAAGAGATTAAAGTGGTAATAGTAACACAGATACTATTTTTCTACATCAATCATTTTATTCTAATTGAAAGTATTGTTAAAATTTCACATTTCTTTCGGCATGGAACGTGTTAACCGGAAGTCACTAACTATAAATATTCCCATCAGCTGTTGACGAACAGTGTGGGGCCTGTGTTACAATTTACTTTCAGAGCATCGTCATTCTTGCAATTTTTATATATTAAAAGATGAAATTAGATAATCATATAGAGAGCATATAATATAACGAGGAAAAATTCATATGTGATCACTTGGAGCAGTATTACGCCAGGGACACGGGCTGCACGGCTGCACGGCTGCACGCAGTGTGGTCTCTTACATAAGTTAGAACAGAGGTTAGAAAGAGAAGCATAGAGAATACGTTCGACCGATATGAATAGTTGACACGATGTTTTCACTTGACACCGGTTTTCGTTAGAAAACGAAGCTCTGTGTGCGTAAGTAATCCTTTCAAAATTTTCATAAACGATCAAATAGATAGTTAGCTATTAACGATCAATGGTGCGTTCATTAAACCAACGAGGATTGAACAATTAAACGTCATCGCGATATACAAATTTAAAATTGTATCACTTACCAAGTTAGAAGATGGTTGATTTATTTGACAAACGATTCTCAAATCTGGCAGTGTTCTTTTTTATCTTTAGGTTTTCGGAAGTACACTCACTACCAATTCAACATGAAGAAATCGAGAACGATGTTTTGTCAACGATCACCAATTCAATTAATACGAAGATTAACGCTGGTTCCCTTAAACACGTTGAAACGCGAAAACACGCGAAAATATTGAAACGCGAGGAAAGTTAACAGGCTGAACCATCTACGTCCGCAACGTATACGTATATTGACAGCTACGTAGACGAAACGAGTCTCATAAATGCACGAAATCACGTCTACTCGCACGCACTGTGATACTCAGATCGGATAGTGTCTTCGTTGATAGAAGACGAATCCATAAACTCGCGTTTCACAAACGTACAGCGAGATTCTGCGAGACGAAATGAAACAACTAGCTGAACGAAATGACAAAAGTGAGGTTACGTAGGTCCAGACTCGATGACACGAGTTATCGAGACGCAGTCTGATAGTTGATGACTTTTACAACAGATTTCTCTCCTTTCTTCTTGTTCCTACCGTCTCTCGGATCGTGACAATGGACTAGAAGCTGCAGCGGCACGCTGCACACCCAGGACGCACCACGCAAGTTCCAGCTGACGTCCTGGCGAATCGAAGAAGTGGGGAGGGAACGGAGCAGTCAAGTGTGGTGGACAGCCCTCATGGACTTAGATCGGCCCTCGCGGCTCTAAGGTTCGTTACGCTTATCGCTTCTCTCGATATTGCCAATTCATCCAATAGTAACAGTTTGTGACAACAACAATTCTTTTTTATATTTGATATCTTGGAACTTTGTCGGACATCTTTCAATTTTTTAGGAGAAGCATAAGTGGAAAAGCAGGATTAGGGATTATTTGGTTATGTTTTGCAACCCTTTGACTATCATTGGTACCTGTACGTGATAGAAGTCAATGCTTATAGAAAGTTAAAGGTAATCACTCGCTAGATATTAATAATACACCTGTGAATGCCTGTAGGTACTCCAACTGTTCTTTTTTTCCTAACAAACGAATATATTCCTATATTACTAATTTTATTTATGGTATATGCAGAATGTAAAATGTGAAATATTAAAACAAAAGATATTGTGAATTCGTACACAGTGATTACTACCGCATTGAGCACCTCTCGTCTTCAAACACGTCGGATCAAAAGGTTACTTGAAAAATTAAGAAAATAAATGAACTTAAATTACTCAAAATAAATGAAACCAAATGGAAAAACTATACACAGCTGTTCAATGACAATTTCTTCTATGGATCGAAAGCGCGGTCGCGAAACTAGACCGTGTTAAACCGCCTAGATATGCGTCCCGTCGTCCCGACAATGCACGTGTACTCGTTCAGAGGTACACAAGCAGCTCGATTGTCGATAGCGAACTCGTTGTGCCTCCAAGCTTCGAACGCCGCGAATCAGCAGGGGGAAGAGGGAATCACCAACGCCACAGGAAGGGAGAATCACCGAGACAGGAAAGGAGGAGAATGTAAGCTTCGGCAAGAGTTGGAACAAGAGAAAACGATCAGCAGTCAGCCAACCGCGTGAGACTGAATGAACTCGTCTCTGACCCCGACATGCCCTGCCTCGTTCCCGAGCGACGACAACCCCAGTCTACCACCTCTTCGCCTCTTCCTCCATTTCGCAATGCCTGTTTTATCGCGAGAGATTTTTCATGTTTACCGTTGATTATGGCCAGAGCTTAATTATTCTAGCTATTAAGAAAGTTTGAATTTGATGGTGATTTAGAATTTAATATTTGGAATTTGCTTTGATCCATTTTATCCAATTTGAAATCCAACATTACTTTTAGAATACTTAGAATACTCAAAATTTTCTGATCATTTTATTCCTCTTTTTAAATTGCAAGTATTCTTGTCTTCTAAGTGATCCAGCCTTTCTTCAAAGAAATTATTCTCAAATAATCTAGTTTCACAACATGACGTTCTGCACGATTATTTTTCTGTTACAAATTAACCGCATCGCCCAATATTTCTTTCATCTTTCTTTTTACCAGCCTAATTGTACCAAGTACAAAGAACAGCCAGAATTATTTTTCTCATTTCTTAGGAAAATCATATCATAGAATCTAGAGCTTTTATATCGACGAGTCAGTAGTTTTTATGCGAATTAGAGAGACGGAGGAGCGTTTGTCTTTGATCATCGAAATCGCAGGACTTCGATAAAGGGATATCGCAAAAGGGATATAGTCGGTGGATTACGCAAAACAGAAGTCGAGACGGGGAAATAAAGCGCGTCGAGACGGCGACACCTCGTCCACGCGCATGCCAGCCTCGCTCGTGACGTCAGAGAGCGAAAAATCAATCCACCCTGTACAGTGCGGCAGGACAGGGACGTTGTATATCTGGCCGCCATGGTCACCGTCATTGAATTAGCCGAATTAATTGTAGTTCGCCTAATCGATCGCCCTTGGGCTAATTTGCAATTTTAGAATTCTGTCGATCGTTGATATCTTGGAATGTGACGAATGTTTTGCTTTCTTGAAATGAGTTTTCAGGGAGGAAGAAGTAGAGGTATAGATAGCTATAGATTGAAATTTTTTAGAGCCTTAGAGATGGAGATAGAGGATATTAATATACGAAATGTGGCTGGGATTGCTTGAACTGAAAAATGGAAAAAAAGCGGGAGACCTAGTTGTTACGCGGCTCGACTTGGCAAGAAGTCCCACAAGGAAGTTGTATAAAAGATTGGAGTAGTATTCTAGTTTGAGTTTGTAAACTCATTTATGGAAGTACTGAGATGAAATTGGAATCTAAGAAGAGTTTAGGAGAAGTATGAATACATAATATACTCAATAATGAATGAAGATGACTATGATTGAATGTACATAAATGTAGAATATTGTAATATCAAAGTTACTATAGATATTTAAAATTTCAATAAAAGAATTGAACATGCTACATTTTCAAGATTACGATGTTCTAACTACTTTGAAATACTTGAACATTTTTCTACGATACTATGAAATTGAAATTAATCAATAATTTCGTCTTGTTCAAATAATTTCTTTTAATTTTAAGAATAAACAGATCCAGATTAAAAAGATAATAAGATGCTATAGGTAGAGCTTGCACGTCGTGAAACGTTTCGTTACGCAATCCATTCAAACAGCACCATTTAAAAGATTAATTAATTGTCCGTTCCACCTCGTTAAGATCACATATGCTGGTGTAATTGAAATAATGCTTATGCAATGCAAGACGTTACTTCGGAAGATAGGGACGCCGATCGTTTTCCCATAATGCACAAATGAATCCCAGGTTGCGCGATATACAAGTTAACAAACGCTGGAAAACGTATTTCAACGAGTTTTATTAATTGCAGAATACTTTATTCTGATCCAATCGCGATGCACCTTCCCACAGTAATCGAATCGACATACTGACGTCGGACATCTCAACGACCAATGACTCAGAGGTAACGCGCTTTATATCTTTTTGTTCTATTCTAGGATATTTAAAAAATATAAATCAGCAATTCTATGGTTAAGCAAATATATAAATTCACAAACGTGACGACTGTCTAATTGGATCTAAAAAATATCAAAGGTAGATTTTCAGCGTAAAGTTCTTTGAAAATTTTCAATAATAGTTCTTAGAGAGTTTTGAAAGCTAAAATATATACATATATATTATATGATATCTTTTTGTATTTTTCAAAAAGACATTTTTTTGTTTTTTAATTTCTCTGCGCCTTATAGATTTCCTATCCTCTCTATATTCTAAATTACTCACCTGTTATCCGCGTTTCCGACTAGTTCCTACTGTCGATCTCGGGAAAGCAAACTGTTTTATGCGTTCCTGGCAAACGAAGCTGCACCTTCACATGATAATTAATAAAGACTGTTTTTCTTTCGCGCCGTAGATGGTGTGTTCGAGACCTGACGCGATCGTGTCTCAGCTACGAGCAAACAATCCGTAAGATTGCAACCGAAAGGGATTTCTGCATTGCTGTTGTCCCGTGCCTCGGCTTGGACCACCATTAGCTCATCAAGTCCGTTAAACGGACACGAAAGAAGGCAGAGACGCCGAACGAGGCGGACTTAAGTGTCTGGAGCTGTTCGTGCAATTGTTAAGTAACAATTTAAACCGTGTATAGACTGATGAGCACAACGACTTGGTGCACGCTGCAACGCATTAATATCTGACTGCCGTCGTGTCAGATCACTAGAGCATTCATCTTGCAATTTAATTTAGAATTTGTTAAGATAATTGGAGTTATTGGTATATTAATTGATCATTTGTCCCTAATTAAATTATTAGATGCCATTGTTAGATAATAGGTATTGGAATATTAATTAATTATTTACTGACAATCGATTGTGTAGAATAATTTTTGGCATATATGGAAACAGAAAATTTGAAACTTGTGTCAGTAGTACCTTAGCTTTTCTACAATTTTATTGCAAACGATATTGAGTAGTCTGATGTGCATCAAGCAGTTGCGTTTCACTTAGCAATCTGTGTTCTGCATTGGGCTATCATCCAATATCTTTGCAACAATGTTATTGCTATTCATAATAATACGTGCTACGGCAGTAATTGGCAATTCCAAAAAGAATTCCATATAATTTGATTTCTACTATAGAATTTTTATCTTTTTTGTAATTCTGTTTAAATATATTTGTTGAATTCCAAAGTTCAGTGCATTTTTTAGATAGTACAATATACCTCTGAAAGAAATTCCATATAAAATATTTATGTAAAAAAATAGTTTATTGTTAATATTGAGTAAACGTTACAAAATAGCAGAATAGTATATTTTTGATGCATTAATGATAAAATTATTCGATTAATCATCTCAAACATTATTTCAAACGTTATTTCTATAAGATAAGCAATATCAATTTCTACTGAAACAAAAATATACCAACTGGAACATGTTCCAAAGTTTGGAAGGGTCCTGTGGCGCTATCTGAGTTAGAACTTTCGAAGCGTTCTCACCAAGTCTAGTTTAAAAATCGAACAAGTTCCAAACTGTTCGTTTAGACGTAAAACATAGTCTTTGTTATAAAAAACAACCTTAAATACAATACAATATTAGATTGAAAATAAGGTACAAACGAGAAAATAATCATAGAGAAAGTTAATTTTTGATTCGAGAGATCTTAATCAATATTTAATTGTCTGAAAGAACCCTGTAATCCATCCAGTTCTGCCAGAAGTCTTGATTTAGATTCTGGAACTCTGGCTTTTTCGTTTGTTCGGCTAAGCTTTTCTTCTCGCAAAAACCAATCTCTGTTTTTCTCAATTTTCTTTTTCCACGCGTCTGAAAAAAGAGAGAAGGAACCACTTTTAGAAAAATTACTAAATTATAAAATTGAGATTACTAAAAATTTAAAATTTGTATAGAGATTTGTTTATTCTATAAATATCCCAACGAATATTTTATTTCAAATACCTACTTTAAATACCTCTACGTATTGTCTGCATTTTGTACATTTTTACTTATCTAAATTTCCGTGAACACCTGCGATCTAATCATAATAAATTTCCAAGAAATTTGTAAAAAGTGAAGATCTTTCACGAACCATTTAATTCATCCAGAGTGCCTGCTTTCCCACCCCACTCGTTTGGAAGTATATCCTTGTCCATGTAAGGGTATAATTCCTCACCACCACCGGTATGAATGCAAAACTTAAAAACGAAGAATGCATTCGTATTATAATATAAAATAATATCGTGATCTATGAAAATCAAAGCAATTTTTAGCGATCATTTACTTTCTGTACAAGTCGATCCTTTAATAGAGGGTAAAATATATTTAGAATACTTTCAATGAAAGCAGGCGCGTGAAGGAAGTGGACTCTATGCAGTCTTAATGGCATGCTATCTTGCACTGCCAACATCGACTTCCGGACGATGCTCTGCGTTGGACTGCACTTCGTAAAATGAATCATGCTGAATCCCTAATCGAAAATTTAAAGACTTAAATAAATCAAAAGATAAAAAGAAAACTAAACAATGAAATATCGTATAATACAATTTTCATGAAATGATTTTTTATTTATAAAATAGAATACTGTATAATGCTAATTTGATGAGATAATACCTCGAGATCGATAACCATAATGTTTGATAGACAACGTTCTTCCATTAAACGAGTATCCAGAACCATAAGAATCCTCCTGGAGATAGCTTGGATAGAAAACCTCTCTGTACTAGTGTCTTTTAATCGCAAGATAGTTACGCGGTGTCCTTCGTCGGTTAATGATGGTAAGACGAAATAATTGCTAATGGTAAATTGGTAAAATATTGAGTTAATCTTGGGGGAAGTTAGAAAAAATTAAATTCCAAATCAAATAATTGAATTAGTTACATTGCTTCGCAGCATTCTTGAATTTCTCGCGCAAACGGATCTCGAACCGCGAAAAATTCTGGAATCGCCGTACGCACGCTGAAATATCTCTCCAAAATCATCTTGCATCGCTCTATGCTATTTTTGCAACCAAATAGGAATCTTTCAAGCCTCGCATCGTCTGTGATCAAGCAATTTTCAAATTAAAATTTAGATCTTTAAATCTTCAGCCTTTAAATTTAAATAATTTGTGATCTTTAGAGAGATTTATAATCACGGACGAAGGAAATGCTTTTTCAATAACATTTTTCTCAAAATGACATCTTTTCTTGCTTCATTTAAAGTATACAAATAAAATCAGACCCATATGATTAGGTAGATGAGGTTGTTTCGACAGCCACTCGCGTATGGCAGCCACATCGCGTTTCTTCACTTCCGGATCCGTTGGAACCGCCTCGTTTATCCGTTTCTGTTGTTCTACAGTCGGTGGTAGCAACGTCATCGCGTGCTACAATACAACAAATTCATTTTCATTCGCCTCAAACAGAAATCTCGAACCTTGACTATGTTATCGTAAATCGCGTTAAAACTTGACTAAGTCCGAATTCCATGGAACGTTATCTGTTTTCACTTGTGCACGCAATTTTCACGCGGAGGAAACGGTTTATCTCGGGAACAACACATTAACAATCGATATTGACATTCGTCACGCTCTTTCGACAAGTATATTTGCGCATAAAGTGCAGAACTCATTGTGGCCCCTTCGATCCTACACGAAATTTAAGCTCTGTTCTTGTCCTCGAAACATTAGATTATGTAAAATTATTATATTCGACAGAGTCCTTGACTAACTAATACGGCATTTAACAAGCTTTCAATTATAAAGACTTGCTAAATTATAGTGGGACTGAGAATCCTTGATTTCACTCAAGACCTGGCCCCGGACTTGGACTTTCAATTAGCATGATTATGTCGTAAACATCAGAAATGAATATCCATGACTGTTTTTGCCAGTTTAAAAGCATGTCGTTCTTAACTGCACAGCATAGTTCCAAGAATATTTTCAAGTACTTTATTTTTGTTCTTACTTTGCCTCTAGTGATTCTAACGTTTTCTAATATTTCCAATGTACCGAACACTTAAATATAATAGCAAATACTTAACACTTTGAATTTACTCGATATCTTGAACGAAGTATCGTTGAATCGAGAAATAATAATCACAAATAACGCGAAATGCATGTTCATAAATTTTTTAAACTGTCTAGAATTCTAGCAAAAAGGGAGAGAGAGAATATTTGTTTTGTGTAATGTCAGTGTCTTCTCATACTTTGGACACCGAAACTTCTAATGCATGGTCAAATTAAGAAACGTGAACCTTGAAAAAAAGGAAACGAAACACATTTCAGAAGAATTTCCTTAACTTTCCATTTTTATCTTGATCTCTATCCAATCGTTTTTTCTAAATCATCCAAATCAAAGAAGCATTTACAAGACTTTTGAAATTTTAATTACCTTTATCTTCAGCTGAATATTTTTATCAATTAATTTTAATGTTTCCTAGTGTCGCGAACATGACGAAGAAGGAGGAAATTGCACACGATTTCTGATCTTGTCGATTAAAGAAACCATCGAATCGCGAAGGTGAAACGATCGTCCGGAGGAACACCTGACAACGCGAGAAAAAGAAAAAAGAAATTCGACGTGATCGGAATTAGACATTGCCGGTGAATTGCATCATTATCGAATCTTGGGTGTAGCCAATTTTTTCTTTTCGTAACTCGATCGGAGAAAGCTACCACGAAATCGAGTGCCATGTCGTCGAAGATCGCTCGAACGTGAGCAAAATTAGTTAGATCGGCGTAAAAATTGGAAAAGTCGTAAATCAGTGGAAGAGAAAGCGTGATCGATGTAAACAACGAAAAGAAGGCAATTGTAGGTGCATTCTCGATCGACGAATTCGATTCTTCCACATCATCTTATTCGTTCCTTTTTCCATTTGGTTACAATTCGACAGCGAAAAAAAATCTCATGTTCGCCCATATTTCATATTTTTCACATCTTTATCTCGTAGGAAACTTTTTATTCGTTCGTATTTCGGCTTTTTCATATTTTTATCTTTATCTGTATTTTTAGGAGAACGAAAATAACGAGATATCCGTGAGCAATGCTTCGGATATTTTACTTATTCTTGCATACCTACATACACCTTCCATATTATCGCATCTTTGACTTTTCTTCCATAAATTGATAAACATACACGGATAATTACGATTATTGAAAAAAAACTACTGTTCTTCTCGGCTAAAATTTTATTTATGTTTATTCATCTTTGTTTTTCTTCTCCTATCCTCGCTCATACTCGCTTCTTTCGTTATTGGTATTTTAAAGAAGACTTCAATAGAATATGTTTCTTAGCTCTTTGAATTCATTTCACACAAAAATCTCTAATTCTGTTACTTTCAACCGATAATTCCATTTTAAATACTAGAGGAGGTAACAGAGGATTCAAAAGAATAGTTTTACATTCGTGACCACGGATCCTTCGGAACCAATCGACTTTAACCAAATCAGTAAAAATGTATCGAGTAAGACGAATCGATATTTCTTTGCAAAAGGATATTTCTGGTTAAACTCCCATTAGCTCGATTGGATAAGAGAACATTCGACCACGTATTTATGTGGTCGAGCGTTGGAAGCTGGTATGCATGGGAAGCGTACGAGTTTGCAGTTGAAAAGTGATTAAGTCAAAGTTCTATTGATTCGATATTTCTTTTCTCGTGGTTCCTTGAACCTGGTCGTTTATACTCGATAATTTAATGAGATAATAGATATTGTTCCCCATTAGACAAAGATAAAATTGTATATCCCTTTCAGAATTAGTACCACACGTTCATCGATTCTAATTTTACTTCAAATTTAAATTGCACATAGCTAAAATTTATTTTTACCTTTTTGTATTCTCCTAACGCGGAAAATAATTTCTTTTCGTAATTCACTCGCTTGTAATAGAAACCGTAATAGAAATCAAACCAATTTTTTCGGTGATAATAAAAGTACAAAGTTTAAAAACAAATTGGAAGTATTTTGACCTTGTAGTTTTACTTACCAAACTACTCTCCAAATGGAATAAATCGTTCCACAAATTATCACACCGAATTTTAGATAGCAAATGTCATAAGTGTTGTTTCAATACGAGATCCAAAATTTCCACTAAGCTGTGTTCAACCTGTGGAAGTCGACAAGATACTGCGATATCTGTGTAGAGAAGAGCAATTTCTTTAGTCTGGCCCACGTGTTCCCCACCTTCGTAAAATACAGGAAGCGCAATCGGGCAACGTGGTTCACATGGAAAAGAAATTAGACGCTGAATTTTCTCTTTTTTCTTATCGTCTCGAGATTCTCTGTGTATGCGAAACATTTGAAACGGAAACTATATAAACTAACCATTACGCGATCGGTTTTCGCGTCGTGAGTAACGAAAAAGAAAATTGTCTCACGGAGAGAAATTTTGAATTCTTTAAAGCTCTAGCTCCTCCCACATTTTTCTTTTTATCTTTGTTAACGTTACAATTTCTAAAAATTTATTCGCGAAATCTTGCTATAGTTAAGGAAATAATTATTTCCTATTTTCACTTAAGACTTCCTAAGTATTAGAAATAGTCTTCCAATCTTTTCCTGAAAGTTTCTTGAAATTCATAAAAATTTGTTATATCGCACCATGACGAAAAGATCGTTTATTCTCGACGTTTGTGTACAAATTTCTTGAGAATATCGTAAAAATACACAATCGTAAAAATACAAACCACGATCGTTCGAACCATCGAGAGACAACATGTCAGTCGCCGGAAGTTTGCAGTGTTCGACGGCCCAAAAAATTGGAAATCTTACTAGCCTTTAAATGTCAACGAAAATGTAAAATCGTCGAAGTGAAAATATTGAGACACCTGGTGAAATGTTTGATGGTCTTTCTGTATGCGATACCATTTGCATGGCTTGCATCTGGTCCTGTCTATTCTCAAAGTGGTAAAAGTATCGCATTCTTCCATTGATTTAACCTCGAATAAACATCGATTAATCGTATTACAGCTTCCCAAATTCTATCAGCCTCAAGGAAGTCGATTCTAGTGAACGCTGCAGTTGGAAAAATCCCAGTAAGACAGGAAAGATGTCACGACTTGTTCACTGCTGTTTGAGCTTTACGGAAACTCTAATACGCTATAAATCTTGCAGAGGAAACAACTGTTTCAACGACGTTCAGAAGAATTATAAATATCGAGTATCCATAAGTGAAGATCCGTCAGAAGATTTATAGCGTCGATAGGATTTGTTAAAATGTCTCGTTACGATAAAGTAAAAATAAAAATCTCGTTAAGATCAAATATTTATTCCAAATATATAAGATAGTTAATAGGAAATGTTTCAAATAATTTATAAATACCGTCCATATGCTCGTGATTATAACAGAATGTAAACTGATAATAATATATGAGAAATCTGCTAGATTTATTTTACAAAATTCAATTATACTGTTCCTGAGGCGTGTATTCAGATATAGATTGATGGTCAAATTGCGATTCCATCAGATTCGAAATCGGTACTTTCTTCTCTTCCGCGTTTTGCTTAGCATTAAGATCTTTCATGGCCATTTTCGTGGCAATAAGATCAGCGTCATTGTCTAAAATCTGGACGATCTTTTGTACCGTTGAATATTCCATCACCACCGCCGATTTTGGATCGTTCGTAGTCTGCGACGCTTCTGACATTCTCGCTCTATCTTCGAGCTCCCAATTTCCTATCATTTCCCTGAAATGTAACCAATTGTATCTTTTTGTCTCTCGTCTTTTACGGTATAAAATCTATGATTAATAATTTTGGAATAATCGTAATTTACTAATTTTAGTAGAGTTGGTAAAGTTTCTAAAATCTCTAAGATCACGAAAGAAATTCTGGCGAAATCCTGATAAAATTTTGAACAGCCGACCCAGAAAAGTTCCTTACTAATTCAAGCTTCTAATTTCCCTAGCAGAATTCTAACAAATATTCTTTACATGGACGACAGTCGTTCGTCGCTAGGTGTCTTGCTTCTCGACAGATACTTCGATTTCAATTTGTGCTTCGAGTTCTTCCTGTTCTTATTCTCACGGTTCATCGTTGAATTCGATTTGCTGCGACTGACTGAATTTACAAGGTTATCCTGTTTCGAGTGTACAGGTTTTTTCGACGGATTACTGTTTTTAGACGAATTATTGTTCTTTGACGAATTGTTGTTCTTTGACGGATTATTCTTCGACTTGGACGGATTCCACTTGGTGCTCTGTGACATGGGATCTTTCTTGAAACAGCAACGATGAGTTCGATATTGCCACCTGTCGAACACGCGTGCATTAAGAGAGAAGCAAGAAGCGAAAAAGCTTATGATATTTTGTTTACCATAATGCGCAAGTTGTGACAGTGGAGCTGAACATAAAGAAACAATTTAATACTGTCAGTACGATCAGTGGTTCCAACATGATAGGGACTCGGAATCGAGTTTGAGAATTTTTAACAACGCCAATGACGATGATGATTGAGACGAATCATGAATTTGGAAACAGCCGTCGATCGAAAGACACTGAAGTTACAGATTCTGTTTGCTTCGAAAATAAATGACGAACGATTAACTCGATGTAACGATATGAACAAGCATCTTTTTGATTCAGCTTCGACACGCATTAATACCATGAGAATAATTTTCTCATCTTTGTTAAATTAGAAATTTGAAATTTCTTGCACCGATAGCGTAAGATCGTCGAAACTGAAGCTTTCGGATGTAGACCGTGTCTTTACTTCCAGTTAACTTCTATCAATTTTTCCTTAGCATAGCAAATTTCCTGCGATTCCATTCCACTCCAAACTTCCGCCCTACGATTAAAACTTATTGAACAACAGTTGGACGATATCTTGTTCGAAAAGATCTCGACATCCGTCCAAAATCTCAACCTCAATAACCACACCAGATTCATCCCAGGACAACCAGCCGTCTCTCTGACGAACTGTGTTAAACTCGTTCCAAGAGGAGTAGCTCAATTTGTCCCAGGTTCTCGTACACGTTGGCTGCATATCTCGCATAGTCCCGGATAGGTAATGGTCCCGGAAGAGGGGAAGCCAAGTGAGAAATCCGCGCAGGAAGCGTGTACAGATTACAGTAGCTGTCGACAGGGGTAGCAAACGAGTGATCCAACCCCGCAGTGATGCGATCCTCTTCTCTGTGGGGGTCTTTCAGCCATTTCTTTCGTCAAGACCAAGCACAATGGCCGCGGTAACCGCAATATAAAAACGAAATCTATGCGTCCCTGTAGAGACGCATCTGTGCGACGAGATCTATAATGATGATATTACGTTTCGTGAATGACTGGATGTCGGTGACTTTTCGTTGCGGTTCCGAATGAAATAGGCGCGGACCACCCGAGGAGAAATCACACGTTTTCCACTACCTGCCATGCGTGCATTTAGCTGTCTATTATGAGCCCTGCATATATATTATTTATTTATTCTCGAACGTATTAAGAATTGGAGTTTACGGGTGGCAGGGAGATATCGATAGGGGAGGTTTGAGAGAAAATTGAAGGGAAATTGTATCATCAGGTGAGAATAGAGATTATAGTGGATGCTCGACAATGAGTATAGTAACGAAGGAAATGCATCGAATTACGTACAAATTACGAGAGAGAATTAAAAGAAGAAATATATATTTTGTTTAATAATACCAGGAACGCTGTTATTTTTCAGCACGACCAGCCGTGTGAAAATCCTCGATTATAACATTCCATGAAATATTACCAGTCTTTGACATCGGACGTGTTTTCTAGAAGAAGTCGTGAAGATTCTTTTCTATCCGTAGAAGCGATTCGTCCTACGTATAATATCTTGGTCACTTGTCGTTCCATTCATCGGTGACCACATAGACCTTTCTTTGCCATCGATTCCCGCTGGAAAAGACGTATACTTTTGCATCGCCGTGATCGTACGTGTCACGCTATTTTCCGTACATCGAGAGCGTCGTTCTTCTCGTAGCCCGTCTAATTTATCGACCAAAGCTTTTGTTAGACCGATAGACCACACAGAGAGATCGACACTTTTATGAACTTGCACGACGATCGCGATTGTAAAGTCTCCACCACTCTTATTTTTCACTCCTCCGCACTTTCTCGTTTAATTCTCTTCGCGCGAATCACCAAAGGCTGATTTACCGTTTAAAATTGTTCATTTTTACAGGAACACACACATGTTGGAATAAAATGTATCGGAAATATTAAAATAGGATTGCGATAGAAATATTCTTCGAAACTAATCTCGTTTTATGTCTCTATTAGGAAGACTTTTAATATTTTAAGAAGAACAATGCCATTTTCTCTTATATTTTCGCCGAATTTAAGCAACTTTCTGACGATCATGGAACATGATACGGTCGAAAATAGACAGTAGGAAGCTGTTTCGATCAAAGATATTCACAGTCATTAGGAAACTCGTTAATTATCGCATCGGGAGTATTTCAAGACGTAAGAAATTTATGGGAGATACATTGAAACAATTTTCAGAGGCCTGAAATAGCCTTCAAACGCACTGTCCTAGATCAGGTATATTCCATGGAAGTTTCGTTACCTTCAGACGGAACGCTTTTTCTGAGCGTAGCCGTTTTAATCCTTGACTACTGATTTATTTTCACAGCGAGTAGCTCCTCCCTGAAAACCACTTAACAGTTGATTCGTCGACGTCGGCTATTTGTTCGGTTGACATATAATTACCAGTAAAACGTCAGTTATAGTTGTACAATCCTATTCTGTCTCAACTTGCAACATCGCAAAAGCTACAGCATCTAATTGTTAACAAGTTGACTAGAAAACAACCCTTAGTTACGTCCTCTGAAATCAAGCCACAACGAATTTGGTATCCTGTTAGGACAGTTACCGTAAAATAAATTGTCGTTCTTCTACTAAGAAGTTAAGGTAATTAGGGTAACTATTAGGTAACCAGTTAAGAAGTATATTCTTAAGAACAATATTCTAATAGCAATACAGTAGAACCGAATAATATTCGTGCAAAATATGATATGGTAATAGAAGAATAAATTGAGAAAATAAAGAAAATCTTGGGAAACTTTTGCAGAATAGCTTTTTAGTAAAGTTTGCTTTCGGTAAATATAATATCTTCAAATATAACATCTAGTAAAGCTAAAAATTTAGAAGAGCCTCGTGAGAGTCATTACAAAGTTTCTTTTAAGAATCGCAAGAGCTTCGATCACCTTGCGATGTCATTTCCCTTCAATTGTAAAAAATCCCTTCGTATATTATTTTTAACAATTATAGAATCTCTGTCAGAGTCTAAATTTGAAATTTGAAAATTGATAAACTGCGTACAAGTTTCGCCGTGAAATGCACAAAAGCTTCGACCATCCTGAAGAACATCTTCTTCTACTAAGTTACTCTTTAAAAGTTTAGCACAACCACTTTTCCACCTAAACTCAGAGGAGCCACGGATTCTTCTCGGTTTCCCTCGTTTTTTCATCATAACGTCGAATCGACCCCGAAAAATCTTCGAACCGATTCTCACGATTGAAAAAGTCGGGAGTCAGGTGCTCGTCTGAATGGACCTCGACTTGGACGCCATTCACTCTTTTTCCAGGCAGCAGAAATAGCCACCCGCCCACCAGAGCCCCGTTTCTAGTGTCAGAGAATTAAGAAAAAAATACGGGGACCCGCAGACAATGAAGAACACCGAATGAAGACGATATTTCAGCGTAACATCGTGGATATCATGGGAAGGATATTCCATTCGATGAAAAATGAAACGATCCACGTTGTTCCCAAAGAACGATTATGGGCGTAACTGAAGGATCTTCTGTCGATTCTTTGAGCATAGATAGCTGCTACGATATAGAGGAATTTTAATTTAAAACATCGGGCGACGAATTGATAAAATAAAGAAAAAGATTTGCCTTTTAATTGATCTCTATTCACAGCTTGCTCAAGCTTAAAAATTCTTAACGTTTTTTCGAGAACTACTTAGTATCTTCTTTCGATGTTAGAACAATTCTTAATACTGTCTAATATTAGAACAATCGTTTTTCGTGCAATTAGACTATCTTCTTAATGTTAGAAAAATTATTCCATGTAGTATCTCGAAGGTCTAAAGATTTGTTTGTTCATGTTACAAAAGATTCTTAAACTTACGTGGAACCGTGCGAAAATTCTTCATTCTATTACCGAAGTCTTTCCAATTATTTTTTCACCCTAAAATTCCCTCCCTCGAGAAGATTCCTTTCTATTCGTTGAAGAGATTCGTCCCACGTATAATATCTTGGCCACTTGTCGTTCCATTCATTGGTGACCGCAGACTTTTCTTTACGACAGACTGCCACTGGAACAGACGTTCGCTCTTCCACCTACCGACGCGATCATACGTGTCACGCTATTTTTCGTACATCGGGAGCACGTCCTTCTCGTTGTTCGTCTAATTTATTGACCAGAACTTTTGTTAGACTAGCCGACCACACGGATAGAACGACAGTTTTATAAACTGCCACGACGATCGCGATTATGAACACGCCACGCTTTTCTTTCTTATTCCTCCATACCTTTTCGTTTAATTTTCTCCGCGTTATCGAGTCTTGTTCAACGAAAGAATTATTATTTCTTTGAGATTTCGTAGAAATTGAGAATTTTTCTGCCGTTGGAAATATAGAAAAGTTACAAACATCAGATCGTCGAGAAGATTATCAAAAATTCGATACTATTGTTACTCTTATGTAATTAACGCACATGCATCGTTATTAGCTCGGCACAGATACCAAGAAACCAAAGACCTCCGTAAAAATGATCAAGAAATTCCAAATTACAATAATATTCTAAAAATGTCAAGCTATCCGATTCACCGAAATTTCCCGTTATCACAGCGTGCAATCAGAAGAATCATTAAAAAATACCATCCTATATTCCTCTGAGAAACTTGTCAATGCTACGCTACGCAGAATACCCGTTGTCATTCGCAACGATCGTTGTGAAGTAACAATTACAAAAGGAAGGAAGGCGTTAGAGGCAATTACAAGGATCATCCCAACGTTAATTCGAATGGTTCACAATAAGGTCCCAGGAGAGGCGTCGCATCATCGATCGTCCTCATTGACGATTCCTCGTTGACGATCCAAGGACCTCTTCGGGAAAGCGGAGCATCGAGGACGATTCATTCGGCCGTAACGAAACAATTTTCTACAGATGCTTCTGCTATAGATGAACGAGGAAGGAGGCACGCTGACTCGCACACTTTTACGCATCACAGACCTGTTCCTACATTTTTGCGAACTTCATTGAGGAACCCTGTCTGCAAGTTCATTCAGAAATCGTTCGGTAGTCTCGGCGTAAATACGTAGAATGACGATGTACCTGCGAGTTCGTTGTAACAATGACTCAGTAAGTGTTGACAATGCTAATACCGAGGCTTTTTAGGTAGTAAAATTGTTAGTAGTATTTTCAATAATTCCAAGGCGACTTTCTGTGGCTTCTAGATGTTCGATGATATTTTAGAAATTGTCTCACTTTTTAAATTTTGGCGATGTAACAATGATTTTTACGATTCTGGAGAAAACTTCTCTTAGATCTTTACGAGGAAGAGGACGAGCTTTTTTAATTCTTTAAAATTGTTTTCTCCTTAAATGTATTTTACTATGCGAAACAGCGTGGCCTTTATTTACTTCTCTACGTGTTTTGAATTTTTTCAAACGATGAAACGTTTCTTACAGATTCTAAATTATTTTTTTCCCATCTTCCCCCGTTTTTTAATTTTTCTTAATTTTGTTTTTGACATCGTCTTCGCTGTATCATGTTCGTTTTGCGTAAAATCAACATTTCGGGTCGGTTGTTGATATTTCAGTATCGGTTCTTCCGGAGGTGGTGCCGGTGGTGTCGGTGGTTTAGGCGTTCTCAACTCGAGTTCTACGTTTCTTCTCGGTTCATCAACGGAAATACCTTTCTTTTTCACTTTTAACATGAACACGTTCTCGTTTCCTTCGGTCACGCGATCCGTATGGACTTCCTGGGCATCGGAACCATCGAGAACGGGGTAAATAGTGAACGTCCTGCACTGATTATTCGTGTTTGGACCTCCCCTACATTGGCCAACCTGCGTGACATTAGCGTTTGTTATACTATATTTCTATCTATTCTTCGATTTTACATCTTTATACTTGTTACATTGTTTTACATTTGTACTTTATACTTGTTTACATTCTTTATACTTGTGCAAAAAATCGGTCTTAAATTCGTACATAATTATACAAGTACCTTGAATATTATAGCCAATAGTATTTTGTTACCTATCACGTATTCCAAATGATACGATAATTCACTCGTACGCAAAGTAACAATTTATCTGTTTCTTCCAATTCAAACCTTTGTAAAAAGATCATACACGATATACGTATAATCAATATTTTTCAGTTCATCGTATACAAAACTAATAACCGAGTGTTTAATTCTATATTTCAATTTTATATTTAATATTTGCTATGTAACCTTTGTACCTCGTAAGAAATGGCTTGAGGCTTGGTATCTTCCTCGTCTATTTTCGCAGCAGCGTTATTCGACTCGACACGGAACAGGATCCGATTGTTGTCAGTCCCCTTCAATATTTTCGGCCCTTGGGTGCTCGTCGGCCTCTGTATTTCTATCACGTCGCAATCGCACGGCGGATCCCAACCTTTCAACTTCTTCGATTTTCCCTTTTCTCTTTCCATACGAATTATCAAATGATTTCCAATCACCGCAGTCCCGATTTCTCGGTAATATCTTGCAGAAGGATCGTATTTCGGTTTCGAGGGTGGACATTCCGGTGGGCAGGGTACAGGAGGCATAGGTGGGCAGGCATACATCTCTGATTTCGATAAACAAATTTAATAACGACAGGCTAAGTAACTCGGCAAACCGGAAGATCTATTTTAAGGCATAAATATCTGACACTTGTAATTTGTAATTTAGATATTAGTTACTTTTTATAGGTATTTTTGAGAAGGATGGGGTTAATAAATGTTCTGACAGATTAAAATGGACTAAAAAATCGATTTTTATTGCAACTAGTTCAAGACATTGGAGAAATCGGACACGTTCATAATATTCGACCGATCCATCCATCCTCCGTTCTCATTAACCAAACTCGTGAATTAACTCTCCCCCATGTAAACCCTGTGTTCTAACCTTCTTCTTTTTCCTCTTCCTTCTCTATCTTCTTGCAACAAGCACGAATTATACGAATTGTAAAATATGATGCTGGCGACTTACAAATGTGGATGTCCCCCGTCAGATAAGAAGCCACCGTGTTCACCCTGTTGCGAATCCTCCGCTGTTGGAAGAAGAGTGGCCAAGCATAAAAGTCCTGCAGATTGTCCCGAGAGTATGTGTTGCAGCAAGCGTTCGTTGAGACCCGTCACTTCTGAACCGAAAATCGAAAAACCTCCACCGTGTTGTCCCACGATGCCGTCTGATTCCAAAGAGTTTGAAAGACCTTGTAAGCTTCGTTCAGAGATCGCGGAGAGGGGATTGCCTTACAAGGAGATGGAAGTTACTATCAATGATAATAGATTGGTGATTAGAACTCAGAAAGAGGAGGTGAAACAACAATACGATCCTCCGTGCGATTGTGTCGAGGAGTCTCGGCCTGTTGCAATGGTCACCGACGAAATTGATCAACCTCCGGCTGCAGGAAGCAGAACGGTTACTCTGTATCCACGAGCGAAGAAATCCGACGAGAAGGTGACCGAAAAAGCGTGCGATCAGGAAGAAACTACCGACAAGACCGCTAAGGCGGAAAATCCAAATATATTTATATTCAAAGTGAAGAAGAAGAGTAACAACGGTGACAGGACGTTTAATATCGATTTGGAGTTTAAGACACCGAGACCTTGGTCGATGAAGAAGAGAGCGGAGTACGAGATGAAGTTAATGAAACCTGTGGAAAAGACTCCCACGGAGAAAACAGATACGAAGACGAGTATTTCGAGGAAGAGGAAAAAGAAGAAGTGAATTTACCCGAGGCCATTCTCAACCGTTTACGACAGATAGATAGAATAAAACAGATTAAAATACCAAATAGATTAAAATAAATAAAATGGCGCAGAGAAAATAAATCGCAATTAACTAAAATATATAAGCTGCAACCGTTGACTCTGTACGTCTCTTCTTTTCTTATTTTTCACGAAATATTCTTCTACAACGGCCTCGCTAACGTTCCTCTTTGAAAACGGCCAACCAAACGACCCGATATCCGTCGTGCGTGATCTCTGTGATCGCGAACGATCCATATATCAGCGAGTCAACGCGCCCCAGGAGTCGTGCACTGTATAGAGCACGGGGGTAGTCGTCGATGGCCACCTGAAAGCGCCGGACGACGAGGCCTCGACGTCTATTAGGGGCTAAACGATTCTTAAACGGGAAAAGGAACGCATCGAGTGTCAGAGACGTAACAATGACTTGGGTAAACATTCCGATATACAGGACCACCCGGGGAGCGAGATGCACGTCAGTGGCTATGAATCGAGCGAATACGAATGACGGTAAAGATCGAACGCTTGTTGGACTGCGAAGGAATCGCTGAAACTGAGAAAATTTGACAGTTGATAATTTTTAAAAATCTGCAAGCAAGAAGTGAGAGAGTCAGAAACATTTCTTATTAGAAAACATCGTTTTAACTTTATTACATCGTTCGGATTATCGTTGACGAATCGAGCCACGTTTCGATATCGTTGAATATTTTTTAAGGAAATAATTCAGAGATTATGGCATGAAAGAATTAAATTAGGCAACGAGAAGAAAAAGTAGTAAGTGTCTTTGATCGTTGTACTTGCAATTAGTTTTCAATGGAAAACTGAAACGAATTGCACGTGAAACGTGAGCAAGTGTTGCTCCGTTCGCGAGTCGTCGAAACGGAATCAATGGTGTCTTCGCACCGGGTGTTCTTCCTGTTCCCTCGGTCTTCTTTCGATAATCGTATCTCATATCCATGGGGTGTCGAGTAAAGAATACAAACTTTTGAATAGCGTCCCCGATGTTGTTGAGTAATAGCATTTGCCAGAAATCGAGATCAAATCGTTTCTTCGTCCCAACATACGCGCAAATTGTGTTATTTCTTCAGACCATGTTAAAAGAAAATATCTTATCTTTACTTTTTAGGTAGTAACGTAGGAGGATATCCTGTCGCCATAGTTGAAGTATAAATTAAACGATCAATTCTTGTCGCAGATTATTAATCATACGATTAATTTATTACGATAATCGGATATGAAAAATGTAAATATAAACATTAGAAGAAAGCAAAGGAAAGCTCGAGTTTCAATCAGCATTGTGAAATAAATTCATTTTGGGCTTATTTAGGGCTTGTTTTGGAGTCAAGTATCTACAAATGACGTTGAAGACACGCCTTCCGAAATTCTGACGTTACAATCGGAGCATCACAGGTTCTGTGGTAATCCGAGATTAAGGACCATAAAATCGGATTACAGGTAATCTGGCTTACGTTCAACCAAACGCTCAACACCATAAAATCGAGACCTCGTCTCTCCAGGCAGTAAAATTCGTGGCTACGAACGAACTATTTATAGAAGCAGAAACGCATTTCGTATCATTGTGAATATTTATGTGTAACGGATACCGAAGAAGAAGGAACAGTAAATAAATAAAAGACTGATTTATACAAGGTGAAAAAAATTAAGAACCTATGTTGTCGTATTTCAGTAAATGAGTAGGTAGGTGTCGACGAGCTCGAAGACACGTCTCAGCGGGGATGCTGCTACCCGACACACAACCAGAAATCCGCATGTTCTCGTATAAAAGCGCAGTCCTAAGCTGACTGGATTTTTTCATCTCACGTAAATCAAATTTTCGTGCAAATTCTTTGTTATAACGAGTCTTGAGGTTGCGCCAACTATATAACGTTACAACGCGATATAAATTTACGACGAAAGTGTACATTAAAACAACAATATCGTTACGTAGGAAAGAATTCTATTGGAATTTTTTGACAATACGCAGTACAACAGTGCAGATTAACGTACTTCAGGTGTTCCTTAACGTCGATGTAGATATAATTTCTGAAATATAGCGTCGCGTATAAAATTTTCTCTGCCCCACGATTCGCTAAACGATCAACGATTCCGCCGTAGACGTAATCTAATAGCCGCGCAATAATCTCCTCGGAGGGGAAACTAATTGAATTCGAGTTTTTTTTCTTCGCCACAATCTGGCCAACTACCCTTCGCGGTTGCTCACCCCACAATCGACCGAAACATTTACGTATGCGGCCACGAACCGTCGCGTAAGAACGTATTGCAACGAAAACGATGGCGAACAAAAAAAAAAACGGAAGAAGGGCAGGGATAGACTTACACGCGGTAACCGACCCTTCCGGAAAGCAAAAGGGCGCAACCCTCGTTCTCCCTTGTACCAGCCCTTCTTCGCCAGTCACCCTATAACACGAATGAGATTTTTCTACCCTTCGAACTGGATTTTCGTGCAGCCATCTTAAATTTAATTGTCGAGAAAATGGTGGTGTCGATACTCGACGCCTTTGACGTTAACGTTTCGTATTTATTAAACGCTTACTTTTAAATTTATTTGTAAATACTTATTTGCGAATAGGTATTGGCCCTTAATCCTTCATCTATGTTTGTATTTTCGCTGTAAGCTCTGAGATTGCTTGGCCATTTTATTTATTAAAAATCACTGTGTCATATAGAATTTGTTTGTTAATTGTCTTTTATATTTGGATGCATAGTAAGAGGGAGTAAAATTCTTCAGAGATTTTAATGGGAGTAAATAACAATTCAAGATGCTCCGAGAGGCGAGTGATACGTAAACAAGAATTTGCATTGTTTTAGCATAAGAACGAAGATCGTCGTTCGTTACAGTCTCCTATTTTGATTTGAAAACTGACAATCATAACGACTGAACTATCATTGATATCGATATCATAAAACGCAATAACACAGTGATAGAATATTCTACACGCGTAATTATAATAGATTTATACGAATTCTAGGTAAAACTGGAAACCATGAAGTTTTAGAGAGACTTAATAATTTACCAACAAATAATAAAACAGGTAAAATAGTTTATAAATTTTGTCTAAAATTATCGAAAATCGAGAACTCGATTAGAAATCTCTTTACCGTTTGTTAAACGTTACGTATGCCGACTTAGTACGTTATAAGTTGAATCGATTAAGGAACGTGTAAATTTGACAAGAATAAAATTGAAAATTATCAATTAAAGAAACAGATAACAATTTATTCGTCATAAATATATGTATAAATAATTATAAGCTCTTTTATAAACTCTCTTACAAATTCATAATGTATGTACATTCGACTAGCAGCATAAATTCGCTAAGGTGTTATAAAGGATATTGTATAAAAAATATAGTACGATTTATAAAACAAACTTGATAAATGATTCTTGAAAAAGATCAAGAATCATTCTATCAAGTTAACAACCATTATTCAATATCCGTATAACATCTATACATTATATACATTATATTTATGCTTTATAATGATTAAAGTAGTCGTTAGGAATAAATATGTCATGTTGGAAAATTGTAATGTGGAAATAGAAGTCCTTGAGACGACAATATGTGGCCCGGTGTAAACATTCCCAATGTAGCCGCCGACAATCTATAATCTCGATTTTCATGTGTCCTCATGTGTTTCTTCAGATGATCCTTTCTTCCGAAACTTTTTCCGCAAACGAGACAGGCGTGCGGTCGAAGTCCGGTATGAATCCTCTTGTGTCTTGTTAGCTCCTCGTTTCTCGTAAATGCTTTACCACAATTTTCAACATCACACTTAAATGGCCTTTCTCCTGCAATTAGAAAATATTTTCTTTTAGAAATTGTTTTTATACGATGTCAAGAATTGGAAGAATTTAAAAGAGGATTATAGGAAAAAAGAGAAACACGATGACTCGCGTTTGAAAGTTTGAATACTTAGATCATAAATATTTGGAACCTGAACGATTTCGATACTCGAACGTTTGGAAATTTGAATTATTTCCATATCCGAATATGTTTGAAAATATGGAAATTTAGATATATGAAAATTCATAAATTTCGAGACTAAAGTTTCGATACGTTGCACGATTTAACGATCTAAGACCTTGAAACTCCAAAACATCGAAAGATTAATGTACTTCGACGTTTTGAAACGCTGAAATATCGAAAGCTCGAGAGTGCAAAAATTCGACAATTTAAAAGTTTCTAGGACTAAAGTATATCCTCTAATCGCAAAAACAACCACAACACTTCGATTAAAGTTTACTTAAGAAGCGACCTAGAAGTTTATCCTATCCTTAAACGATGGGATATCAGACTATTTATAGATAACCGGTAGATAAATATATTATGAAATTTCCGGGTGTATAAATATATTAAGAAGCTCACCGGTATGTATTCTGATGTGTCCCTTGAGCTGTCCGTTATTGCTAAACGCGACGTTACAGTGTTCGCATCTAAACCTTTTGGAACGCAATTTCCTCGGTTCCTTTGCCTGTCGCTGCAAGATCTGGACGGTACGGTCTATAGTCTCTGCATTGAGATTGCCTCGAACATCGTACGAAGGTTGAAACGCGCTGAGAAACTGCGTTTTTCTAATATCTACCCAAGGTGGATAGGCTATTCCCATCTGAGGCGGTAACCGCGCACTCATCATCACAGCATCGAACGAAGTTGAGTGCGGTAAATTAAATTTGCGGAACGAATTCCAGCTGTACATCGGATGGAAAACAGGATCTACTATGTGATGAGCCGGGGATACTGGATGAGCCGCTGTGCGCAACGAATTATCGTTTAGCGGATGAACAACCTTTGATGTCAATTGTTCTTCACTGGGTCCGGAGCCACCAGAGTTTTCAGGCAAGTGAAGAGAAGAAACTCCGATTTCCGAGGAACTGGCTTTGATCGCTTTACCACGGATCATAAAGATGTTGTAACACCCTTTTTCTTCTTTTCCTTCACAAGCAACGACGATGTCACGGTCATCATCATGACCGACTGGTACCTCGATCTGTTTCGAGTAGTCCCGCGTATCTAAGTTGCTCCAGGGCCGAAACAATCTTGCGCTGAATTCGTCGCACATGCTGGAGAATTTGAAAGTGGCCTTCGATGAAAAGTTCTTCGATCTCCGCAGTAACAACGCTTCTTCGATGGTATGTGACTTTACGTAACGCCTGGACGATGCTCAAGTTTCATCACTGGAGAAATCGTCAATCCATGAACTTCTTGCAACTTGCACTTTCGAAGCACGATATCCCAAGGACGACTGTTAGATCTGACAGCGTTCACCCCACGGTAATATAGCAACGTCGTGTGCCCACCCTCCACTCCGGATTGGATGGTTTCATTATAAAAGGTAACTTGCCCCACTCACGAGGGTGAGGGAGAAAGGGACACACGCTTCTCCACTAAGGGCGAAGGTAGGCTTTAGAGGGGCCGATCGAGGGCTATGAGATACGCAGCCCCTTTTGTCGGAAATTAATCGGTCGCCACGGCCACGGACTCTTGCCCTTTTGACAAAATCAACCGATCGAAAGGACGAGGAGATAGAGAAAGAAAGAGAAATCGAGTTCGGCGAATCAACAGGAATTGCATTGTCGATTCGCAGCTCTGCATGCTCGACGCCTATCTTTACCTTTGTGCCTTATACCTTTAGTTTTAGATATGTCATGTATTTCGCCGCGGACTGCTTTGTTTTTGATCTATCATGATTGTTGATTGAAATTAACGTATGTGACTTTACAATATTCAATCGAGAGGATTATATTAAAATTGTATATTTATCGAAATTTCGAAAGAAAAATTTCATATTTTATCGAATGCAAAAGAAATTTGTTGCAATTCATTTGCAGAAATTTCTTTTGACGATACCTATTGCCTATCGATGAATAATTGTAAAGTACAAGAAACATAACAATCTTTTCATGATAATGTGATGTAAAAGAAAGACTGCTACATACTTTTTTAATATTTGACTGCGATTTTAGAAAAATCGAATTGAAGTAAATAGAAATAATTAATAATTTTTATGAATAAGATATATGAGAAGGACATATATAAAATGTATTAGAACGTAAAATTGAACAATTGTTGTAGTCCTTATGTATAATAAAAACATATATGCTTGACGAAAATGTAATCTAGACAAATTTTTGGTTGTCTAAATAGTATAATATATACTAAAGTAAATCATAAAATAAATTAGACATAGTCAAGTTAGTTGAACGAGATATCATTGTCTAACCCTTCACCACTACCTCGTAGAAGTACGACATCTAATGAATAAAACGAAAATAAGCATACACGAATAACCAAACATAAAAATACACTCCAAACAAAAGAATCATAGCTAAAATTAGCAAGTTTATCACATCCATTTCAACTGCAATACCCCAGACCAGAAGTAAGTTAGTAAAACGTTCAAATAGAAAATCCGCAAAAGATACTTTCATACAAAATTGTCACTTCAAATTACGACCAAAATCATAAACTCTGACATCCATAAACAAAAGTAAACCGATAAAAGGATTAGATCAAGATCATCGTAAGAAAATTTTGTATATTCGAAACTACGAAGGATCGCGAGACTCCGAAACTCTGAAATTCCGATTCTTTGAAAGTCTAAAACGCAAAAGAGATCTAAACTCTGAAAAAAACTTGAAACGTGTGAAACGTTAGAAGGGTGGAACTTTGAAGCAATTAAACTTTAAAAAATTGGAAATTCGGGCACATGGAAGCTACGATACCTCGCGTTAAACACCGCAATTAGAAAATCTAGAAACGTCAAAGGCTTATTATAACATCTCGCATGATAATTCTCTTCGAATTGTTTCTCTCAACGTTCGATATCGAATCCGAGTGCCGTGGACGCGTGACAGGAAGCAACGATAAATTGTTTATACGTCCGATGAAATGGAACCGGCGAGAAGGTACTTTAGACACAATGAAACAGGACAGTCGGCTCTGCTATGGGATAGTCGTGTTCTCTATGGGATGGTATTCTGCAAAAGTTACGAGGGTGGAGCTGCGCAAAAGTGCGTCTTTGATTTATTGTAACACTCCAAGTTAAGCTACCCTTCGCGAGAACGGGCCACAGGCCATACATAGGTTGCCGTCTATTTTCCCTCCGATATGCTTTATCTATCTCTGTTACACTTGCAGCAAGTTTGTCCTTCTGTTCAAAACGATACTCCTGTACAAAACCGACTTCAGGGATTTTCCGCGACCGTTTCGCTACCGATTCCACGACACGATCTTTATAACGTCAAGTACGTGATATAAGTACGTATATTCGGATTGCGTAAATACGACGTCGTTATATAGATCGACATATAGGTAAATCGAGGAAAAAAACGAGCACGGTTTTTGAAAGATTCGAGTCGGCGAGAGGAAATGTACGTGTGTAAGGAAATTCAAAACGGCGAAGGGAATTTTCTTCGTCGAGGAAGAGCGTTGAGCAAATGCGAAGATCGTTAATTCGTTGCCGATTTATAAAACGAATATGAGAAATTTTTCCATTGCTAATCAGGTAGCATTTAGAAGAATTTCTATGATAAATATCTGTAGACGATCAGAGAGGATTTAACCGGTTAACTACGTTAGGAGTTCAGTTTCAAAAATCGCTTACGGGTTGCGCGATGATAAAGTACACGAAACAATTAAGGGAATAGCCGATGATTAAAGAACAAAAGGAAATTACGATTAGTATTACGGTACGTTTATTATTTTCGTTAACGAATAATCGGTAACGATATTATTACCGTCACGAATAGGATCGAATTAAATAATAATAAAAATACAGATGTTTACATATAGGACGAAAGCGAGATCGTTTCGATCGTTTAGATAAGACTTAGAATAGTTGCGAATGGATACAACGAATAATAGCTAGTTGAGGGAGAAAGAGATTGATTTAACGAAAATATTAAACACTGTTTCAGTAAGAGGATCTGTCATCTGAAATTTTTAATAGCAGCATAGTGTCAAGAGTTTAGTCGTTACAAAAATAGCGAAACATTCAAAGGTAGTACGATAATCCGGAGACATTAGTACGATTAGAACAATGATTAGAATAACTATTGAAAACGCTGTGAATGTTTTAAAAACATCGAAAAAGGAATGAAATCCGTGAAAGTTCGTTCAGCAACTTACCGATTTTAACTGCATTTTGCTAATTATATCTACCTAGCGGACTTACAGATAGCTGACTTGTGGCGAAAATTCAATTTTTCGTTGAATATTAAGAAAGCAATCAAAGAAGGAAATATGCCAAATAAAAGCTACGCAAAGTTCGCTGAAAGTTCTTCGAAGCTGAGAAATTCTAAAAAGGATTATTTCGGAAATGCTCTTGATATTGCTTGCAAGAATACGCTCAAAGAAATAGCGGAAAAGCGACTGGTAATATTTACCCAGGCCTTTTTCGCTAGGAAAACGTAAACGTTCTGTCGCGATTTTGATGGATCGGCCAATCGAACGAGAATTCTCTAAGAATCCCTCGATCCGTCTTACTTTACAACCTGAACGTCATAACAACGACTCGTAACCAAGCGGAAAAGCCTTCAAGCCATTTCATCGAAAAATTTATTCTTCGTTTCCGTTTCGATCCGATTTTCACTGATTAATCTGCATCGCCTGATCGCGCTACCCGCGCAAACAAATTCACTTGGCAATAACAACTTTCTTCCTATCCTCAACAGATACGTATACGTACATTTCTATAACCGCTTTTGTCGAATTTAAATTTCTTAGAAGAACGTTCGAAAGTATAGGAACGTTTATTTATCGCTTAACCGGAATAAATGGCAATATTTTATCGTCATTATATCGTCGTTTTATAATCCGAGTTCGACGAGTATACTCGTCTTCCCTTACATTTTCCAACGCATTTTAGGTACACGCCATTTGAAGCTTTCAAAGTGATCGCAATAGCAAACTCTAGCTGATGATAAACTCGATGAACTTAAAGTAATAATAAAATAGCTTTTGCAACGATGATAGTAACGATAATAAATATAACGATAATCAATAGAAATATTTTATTTCAATAGCTGGAGCACACATGAGAAGGGAGTTTTATGACTGAATATCTCAATTTCCTCGTTCCCGAGAAGTTCGCATTATAATTGGCGCAGGTTACAGTTGTCGATAATTAAGGAGATGTTGACAGTTAAACAATCCAGAAATTTTAAGACGGGTAAGTAAGCTTTGTCCTTTTGCTCGTAATATCTAACAAGTAGTTCCCTTACTGGTTATTGTTCCCTTGTTCGAATGTCACCATGTTTCGAATGTGTTAGCGGTAAATGAACAGCTCACGGCATGGAAACTGTTTTTATCGCCGGTGAACGTCTGTTCGAATTTGATTTTCAACGATTTTCAAGTTAGAAACTTTCTAGTACACATTATAGAAATTCAAATTACCTGAAACACGATTTGATCAACATGAAACTCATAAAAGTATCGATGAATCTGAAATCTTGATTAATTTACTTTCTTACTTCGTTGTAAGATCGCTCAACTTCGAGTTTGTAGAAGTTACGCTTGAACTTTGGAGGATCTTCGTTTTAATACGCTCACGAATATCTTTCTGACTTGACCTAATAAATTTTTTATAGAAGTTTTGCGAGTAAATGAAAAAAGTCAATCGCTCGATAAACAGAAAAAACATTGCATCAGGCCGCGTGCCTCGTCGGATCTTCTTGTACCGCTGTCACGAGCACATGACCGATCGATCGGTATAGAATTTTATCCCAATTTTTCGAAACTGCGATCTCTGCGCAAAAAAACAAACATGTTTTCGAGGTAGAACGATAGACGTGGACCACACGTGGGCGATTAAACTTGACCGATTATCCTCCGATTGTCCTCGAACAATATGAAACTAAATTTCTGACTAGCTACGATGACCATCGATCATCTACACCTTTTTATTCTAGATCATGCTAGACGCGTACCCTCAGAACTATTTTAGATCAATGAATACCTACAAAAGTGATGTACAAAAACTTTGTAAAAATAAGTGGACGATATAGCTTGAAGAAAAAGAAATCACACGCACATAACGCGAAACGTTCAAGATTTGAAACTGAAGAACTTGGAAAGTATCGATCACGATCTTACCTACACGCGTTTCTCTTTACACAAAGTTAATTTAACGTTTCGACTACTCGAATCTTTATACGCCGATCTTCGATCGATTCTTCCAACTTGCAAGTTTCACGTTCCAATTTTCCACGCTAACATGATCTCACGTCCATGCGATGTAATGACACGAATAAAACCAAAAGGATCGTCCTGCTGTAAATTGCCCGATTACCTTCGTTCTCCGTAACCTGCATAGCTAAAATGAAATTGTTTAATAATCGAAACAATGATTTTCAGTCGCGTAAAACGCACGTGCTCTTTCACCGAACAACGACAAAGAAAACTTGTCGTTGCGGTAAGGGGAAGTAGAAAAAGAAAGAAGAAGGGAAGAATGGGAGAGAGATGCGGTATAAATCATAGACGGGTACTACCAACGATGAATCCTGTTGGATTCATCCACGTGGAAGGGGCATAATCAAATTTCGAGCCGCCATGCAAGGGGCGGCGACTGTGCGGTTGTGCACACTTTCGAAGCTTTTCTGTTCACCAGGGAGGGTGGGACCCGTTCGAGGGCTATTATGGGGTTTGCCACGACTTCAACCCTCGTGAAGGTCATCCGAGCGTATAGCGAGCCCAGGATTGCGCACGACGTAACGCGT